GTCTGATTAGGATTTATGAGTTTCTCTAAAGCGTCATGAACAGTTTTTCTTCTTTAATCCTTTCACAACGCTCCCGACTGCAGGAGCGTGACGGGATTTCACGTCCCATCATGCATCAGTGATGCTTCACATCCACCGAGGATAAAGCGGCAGACCTTCAGAAGATTCTCTTCTCTGTGATGAAACAAAAAAAACTCAGGAGAGAAAAACCTGTTTTTGTTCTTTTACTTTTAGTTTGATGCCCGACTGAAAAGATTCGGCTTCTCTGAAACGAGCCGTTGGGAGTCAGGATGACGGGAAAATGTTTTCTATAAGTTTGTCTTTCAGGATGAAGGAAGAACTAAATCTGGGTTTTCTGCATGGAAACAGGAACAACAGATGAAGGTCGAGTTTAAGATCCGACACGTTTGATGGGATGTTTGGTTCTTCGGTTTGGACCAAAGAAAAGATTAAATGTTTCCATAACGTTCATGTGAAATATACGATAGATAGACTAAACATTGTTTACTATATAATAAATTAAAGAACAAAGACTGGGATGAGGAAAACTGAATATACTGAATATAATCAGTTTTCTTTAGTTTCTGATTCCTGACGTCTGCAAACAGAAACAAAAAATCCTTCAATAAATTCAGGAAAATTATTTTATAGACAAAAAAATTAAAATAAATGCAAGAAAAAAATTATAAAATGAAGAAACATTCAGTCAATAACCAGGTAAATGTTCAACAATTTGAACAAAAATCAAACAAAAACATCTTCAATAAATGAAAATATCAGAATTAATATTTTTATTTTGATTAATGAGAAAATAAGAGGCAAAAATTAATAAGTACCAGAAAAATGCCTCTTTACTGATAAAATGTCATGTGAAGGCATGAAGCAGATTAGAAATGTGCATTTCTGATCTTCTGCTGTAAAATGCATGAGAGTGAAGAACCTCAGAGGAGCTGCAGCAGCTCCTCTGAGGTCAGGCTCCCAGTCAGGCTGCAGCAGCTCCTGCAGCAGCAGCTGCTGCAGCCTGACTGGGAGTTTCTCTCTGGTCCAGTTTGGCTCCAGTTGGACCTTTAACCAACTGCTGCTGGTTGATTGTTTCAGTGTGAAGAACCTGGAAACAGGAAACCGTTCTGCCTCCCAGCTCTCCTCACACACAGCTGGCTTCAAGCGTGTGTGTGTGTGTGTGTGTGTGTGTGTGTGTGTGTGTGTGTGTGTGTGTGTGTGTGTGTGTGTGTGTGTGTGTGTGTGTGTGTGTAGGTGCTGATGGATGCAGCCGCTGCATGGACTTAATTAGCTGCGAACGCCTGCAGAGCTGCAGCTCCAGGCCTGCTGTTGCTGTTAACAGCAGAGAGAAAAGCTCCCAGTCTCACAGCTTTGGCCTAAACTGGTTTTAAACCATTAAAGGTTTTCATGGGAGCTGCATGTAAAGACTTCAGCACTTCAGAAACACGTTTTTGTTTCTTCTTGTCCACCAAAATGTCAACGTTGTGTTTAAACGAAGCTGTGAAAATGTTTTCCTGTGTGGAGACAACAGAACCAGCAGAACCAGCAGAACCAACAGAACCAGCAGAACCAACAGAACCAGCAGAACCAGCAGAACCAACAGAACCAACAGAACCAACAGAACCAGCAGAACCAGCAGAACCAGCAGAACCAACAGAACCAGCAGAACCAACAGAACCAACAGACCAACAGAACCAGCAGAACCAACAGAACCAACAACCAGCAGAACCAACAGAACCAACAGAAACAGCAGAACCAACAGAACCAGCAGAAACCAACAGAACCAACAGAACCAGCAGAACCAACAGAACCAACAGAACCAGCAGAACCAACAGAACCAACAGAAACAGCAGAACCAACAGAACCAACAGAACCAACAGAACCAACAGAACCAACAGAACCAGCAGAACCAGCAGAACCAACAGAACCAACAGAAACAGCAGAACCAACAGAACCAACAGAACCAACAGAACCAGCAACCAACAGAACCAACAGAACCAGCAGAACCAACAGAACCAACAGAAACAGCAGAACCAACAGAACCAGCAGAACCAGCAGAACCAACAGAACCAGAAGAACAGCAGAACCAGCAGAACCAACAGAACCAACAGAACCAGCAGAAACAGCAGAACCAACAGAACCAACAGAACCAGCAGAACCAGCAGAACCAACAGAACCAGCAGAACCAACAGAACCAACAGAACCAACAGAAACAGCAGAACCAACAGAACCAACAGAACCAACAGAACCAGCAAACCAGCAGAACCAACAGAACCAACAGAACCAGCAGAACCAACAGAACCAGCAGAACCAACAGAACCAACAGAACCAGCAGAACCAACAGAAACAGCAGAACCAACAGAACCAGCAGAACCAGCAGAACCAACAGAACCAGCAGAACCAACAGAACCAACAGAACCAGCAGAACCAACAGAACCAGCAGAACCAACAGAACCAACAGAACCAACAGAACCAGCAGAACCAACAGAACCAACAGAACCAACAGAACCAGCAGAACCAACAGAACCAACAGAACCAGCAGAACCAACAGAACCAACAGAACCAGCAGAACCAGCAGAACCAACAGAACCAGCAGAACCAACAGAACCAGCAGAACCAACAGAACCAGCAGAACCAACAGAACCAACAGAACCAGCAGAACCAACAGAACCAGCAGAACCAACAGAACCAGCAGAACCAACAGACCAACAGAACCAGCAGAACCAACAGAACCAGCAGAACCAACAGAACCAACAGAACCAGCAGAACCAACAGAACCAGCAGAACCAGCAGAACCAACAGAACCAGCAGAACCAACAGAACCAGCAGAACCAGCAGAACCAACAGAACCAGCAAACCAACAGAACCAGCAGAACCAACAGAACCAGCAGAACCAGCAGAACCAACAGAACCAACAGAACCAGCAGAACCAACAGAACCAGCAGAACCAACAGAACCAACAGAACCAGCAGAACCAACAGAACCAACAGAACCAGCAGAACCAACAGAACCAACAGAACCAACAGAAACAGCAGAACCAACAGAACCAACAGAACCAGCAGAACCAACAGAACCAGCAGAACCAGCAGAACCAACAGAACCAGCAGAACCAGCAGAACCAGCAGAACAACAGAACCAGCAGAACCAACAGAACCAACAGAACCAACAGAACCAGCAGAACCAACAGAACCAGCAGAACCAACAGAACCAGCAGAAAAAACCAGAACCACAGAACCAGCAAACCAACAGCAACAGACCAACACAGAACCAGCAACCAACAGAACCAGCAGAACCAACAGAACCAGCAGAACCAACAGAACCAACAGAACCAGCAGAACCAACAGAACCAGCAGAACCAGCAGAACCAACAGACAGAACCAGCAGAACCAACAGAACCAGCAAACCAACAGAACCAACAGAACCAGCACCCAGAACCCCAGAACCAGCAGAACCAACAGAACCAACAGAACAACAGAAACAGCAGAACCAACAGAACCAACAGAACCAGCAGAACCAACAACCGCAGAACCAGCAGAACACACCAGAACCAGCAGAACCAGCAGAACCACAGAACCACAGAACCACAGAACCAGCAGAACCAGAAAGAAACCAACAGAACCCAGAACCTGCAGAACCAGCAGAACCAGAACCAACAGAACAGCAGAACCAACAGAACAACAGACAGCAGAACCAACAAACAACAGAACCAGCAGAACCAACAGAACCAGCAGAACCAACAGCAACAGAACCAACAGAACCACAGAGCAGAACCAACAGAACCAACAGAACCAGCAGAACCAACAGAACCAACAGAACCAACAGAACCAGCAGAACCAGCAGACCAGCAGAACCAACAGAACCAGCAGAACCAACAGAACACCAACAGAACCAACAGACAGCAGAACCAGCAGAACCAACAGAACCAGCAGAACCAGCAGAACCAACAGAACCAACAGAACCAGCAGAACCAACAGAACCAGCAGAACCAGCAGAAACCAACAGAACCAACAGAACCAGCAGAACCAACAGACCAGCAGAACCAACAGAACCAACAGAACCAGCAGAACCAACAGAACCAACAGAAACAGCACCAAACAGAACCAGCAGAACCAGAAACCAACAGAACCAGCAGAACCAGCAGAACAACAGAACCAACAGAACCAGCAAAACCAACAGAACCAACAGAACCAGCAGAACCAACAGAACCAGCAGAACCAGCAGAACCAACAGAACCAACAGAACCAGCAGAACCAACAGAACCAGCAGAACCAACAGAACCAGCAGAACCAGCAGAACCAACAGAACCAGCAGAACCAGCAGAACCAACAGAACCAGCAGAACCAACAGAACCAACAGAACCAGCAGAACCAACAGAACCAGCAGAACCAACAGAACCAGCAGAACCAACAGAACCAACAGAACCAGCAGAACCAACAGAACCAACAGAACCAGCAGAACCAGCAGAACCAACAGAACCAGCAGAACCAACAGAACCAGCAGAACCAACAGAACCAACAGAACCAGCAGAACCAACAGAACCAACAGAACCAACAGAACCAGCAGAACCAACAGAACCAGCAGAACCAGCAGAACAGAACCATCAGAACCACCAGAACAGAACCAACAGAATCAGCAGAACCAGGTCCAAGATGAAACACGTTTAGGGACGTAAATTAAAATAAAGTTCAACAGATTAAAACTGAAAGGAAAATTCAATTTAATTCAGTTTATTTCCAGAAACTCAAACGTCGTTTGAGGCTCTTTAAAAAAATCAATCACATCCAGATGATCCTGGCTTTCAGTTCAGTTTATTAAAGTTCAGTTTATTAAAGTTCAGTTTATTAAAGTTCAGTTTATTAAAGTTCAGTTTATTAAAGTTCAGTTTATTTAGATTAGTTTAAAAAATTAAACCTTTTAAAAAGTTCAAAATCTGCTGGAAACCAGCAGATGGAGTCGTTGAGGTGAACGAAGCTTTACTGCAACCCTCATACTGGGCATGCATGAGGCGACAGTGGGAGGAAAAACTCCCCTTCAACAGGAAGAAACCTCCAGCAGAACCAGAACCAGAACCTGGCTCAGTATGAGACAAGAACAAACAGAAGAACTGATCCAGTTTTAATGAATCGATTCCTCTTTATTCAAAACTCACAATGAGAAACTTTCTTATCATAGCAAGATAACAATTTTTATATGTTATGAGATTTAGAATTAAATCAGGAAAACTTTGTCTACAAGAAACAGGAGAGAAGAATCAACGAAACGCTCGACGTCTTTAACTTGTTATCAGTCAGTATTTTTATATCTTGTTTTAATAAGGAGGTTTTCTGGTTCAAACTGGATTCTGATCCTGATTTTACTTCAAACTCTGGCAGGTAAATATTTCTGGACATTAAAATATATGAACAGTTTCTGTGTGACGTTTTCTGGAGGAATCTGTTCGTCCGCACGGCGTTTTCCTCTTCGGCGTTTTCCTCTTCGGCGTTTTCCTCTTCGGCGTTTTCCTCTTCGGCGGCCATTTTTAGGAGCTGCTCAGTGTAATTATGAACCATTACATGACTGTTGAGAGCCAGTCCTGCTGCAGGCTGAGATCTGAGCGAGGCTCTGCTTTCTGACACATGGAGGCCTGTTATTATCAGATCCTGTGTGTGTGTGTGTGTGTGTGTGTGTGTGTGTGTGTGTGTGTGTGTGTGTGTGTGTGTGTGTGTGTGTGTGTGTGTGGTGTGTGTGTGTGTTAATCTGCTCTTCAGCTCTGCCAGATAAGGAAGCGACCATCGAGTCACGTTGTGACATTTTATTAACTGATTGCTCATAAAAAGCTGTAAAGGGCAGAACTGATTCAGGATAAGCAGCAGAAACTTCTCTGCGTTTGGCTGCGACCTCAAACACGCTGACATTTTGGGAAATGTTCCTCGTTAGCGACGCTCTGATGAGTATCAGGCTTGATGACCGCATCATCCTTTCCCACTAGATCTTATTGAAGTCATTATATATTGAATGTATATTTTGTGTAAGCTCCGTTAAACCACTTGGATTCTTTAAATGAGTAAAATCTCGATGTTTTCATCAAGTTTGAATGATTTCAGTGATTTCCCTCCTCTGCTGCAGATTTGTCAGAGAAGACGACCTGCGAGTCTGCGACGTCTCCACCTGCCGATACGGCGGCGAATGCAAAGACGACGGCGGGCAGCTCAAATGCGTCTGCCAGCACCAGGTAGAAGAACGAAAACCTTTTACCTGATTCTGTCTCCACTCAGACGAATTTGTTTGTAAAGAAGGAGCATAAAAAATAACAGCAATAATTTGGTTAATTTAGTTTTTAAAAAGAGAAAAAATGAATTTTTATTCAGTCAAATTTTACCATGTTACTTATTATGTCACATTGATGAATGTTGCTGCTGAAACTAAATATTTAATTTGAAGTTAAAAATACTAACTTTTTAGTTCATAATGAAACTTTAAAAGATGAAGCCTCTTTGTTTCTCATGACAGAATAAACAACCCAAAAGTGCTGATAATTTTTATATAACTTTGCAGACGGTTCCTCATTTGGTTCAAATTATTAAGAATTTATTTTCCAAATGTGATTTCAGTGATTTCCTTGAAGGAAACTTTTTCTGCTTCATCCTGTCGTCTTCCAATGAGTTTTAGTTTCAGCTGGTAACAAACCCAAACACTCATCTGGACCTCCAGACCGATCAGAACTCATCGTTCAGGCCTGCAGGCCGTCCGGTTCTGATTGGATATGGATCCGCAGATCCAAACATCCTGACATGTTTCATTAACAGGCTGGGCGACGTTGCCATGTTGGGCAACAGAATCTGATCAGATTATTTTCTAATGACATGAAATTCAAAGAGCTCAGCAGTTATTTACCTTTTATTGTCCACTGTTATTTTCTGCCCTGTTTTCCTCTCTTTAATCAGAACCTCAGCTGGATTGTTGAGTCTTTCTGACCAGTTTGACCTTTGATCCGCAGTGCAACAAAAACTACATCCCGGTGTGGCGGCTCTAATGGAGACACCTACCAGAACGAGTGCTACCGACGGCTGGCGTCCTGCAAGCAGCAGAGATCCATCTCCAGAGTCCATGACGGGCCGTGCTCTGCTGGTGAGTCCAGCAAATACACCGAGCCCAGGACAGACACTGACTGAGTCCAGCAAATACACCGAGCCCAGGACAGACTGACTGAGTCCAGCAAATACACCGAGCCCAGGACAGACACTGAGTCCAGCAAATACACCGAGCCAAGGACAGACACTGAGTCCAGCAAATACACCGAGCCCAGTGTAGTCCTGGACAGATAGTGATGAAATCATGGCTAGCAGCAGTTTTAACCATGAACACTAGGAGGCGCTTCAAGGTTTTAGCTGCTGCTCCATAAATCCACATCGTCAGGATTTAATGGACTTTGACTCATTCAGTCAACAATCAACGTAAAATAAATGTGAAATCTCAAAGCCTCGATTTATGAATTCATATGGTCAGAAATTAACACCAATAATTTGGGTTAAAATGATTTATGGTTACTTTTTTCAATTCTTTAATAATTGTTGCAGTTTCAAACTAAATATAAATGTTGTTGACTCAATGTTAAGTGTGAAGATAAATATTTGACTTAACTAAATATTTAGTAGGCTTAATATTTAGTTTCCAAATAAAGCTAAAAGTTTAGCTTTGGTTTGAAGCTAAATATTAAATATCCAAATATTTAATTCAGTACTAAATATTTAGATATTTCAGTAAAAACATTTAGTTGGTAAACTAATATTTTGTTTAAACTGAAGCTTCGAGCTAAACATTTAGTTTTTAAAGTGTGCTGCCGTTTGTTGTGTTTTAGCACACCGCTTGTTGCTCTGAACTGAGCAGATCATCATCAGACTCATTGATTTCTGAGGACGAGTCGGTTAATCAGCTGATCAATTTTAATTAGGAGCTTCTGATGAAAGTCATTAAAAGCTCCTGAAGCTCAGAGCCTCTGAACTGGAATACGCTCAGCGGTTTTATGTTTTATTTGTTCATGCAGAACGTTGCTATGCTGGACCGGCTCTAGAAACTTTGCAGTTGAGCTGATTCTTATTCGTACCAAAGTTTTGTTCCAGTTTTGAATCTGTTTCTCATTCCAAGTATGAGAACATTCTAAGCATGAGAAAAGAGTCACTGCAGCGCTGAGGGGAGTTGAATAAAATAAGTCGTTTTATTGATTGTTTGTTGACGATGCAACAAAACGGATCAAACCTTAAAGGACGCAGCAAACAGACCTGGAGCTGAAATCCCAACAACTAACAAAGAATCTTCGTCAGTGCAGATGGAGCGTCTGCATAAATTAAGTAACATTATTATCAGTTTATAGATTTAACATTTGAGTAGTTTCTAAAAGCAGTTAATGTTAAACAACAAAGTTGATCAACTTGCCTAAAGCAGAGACAGCGTTCAGATGCTAATGCTAACTTATGTTAGCATGCTAACTGGCGTTAGCATCAGCATAAACCACCACTGCTGTGCTGCTGTTTGTTTCTGCTGATAATAACCATAAAACTCACTAATGTAACAGTTTTTAAATGTCCTGAATGTTTTCTGGACGATCAGCTGACTGGACGATCAGCTGTGGACGGTCAGCTGTGGACGGTCGTGGACGGTCAGCTGACTGGACGATCAGCTGACTGGACGGTCAGCTGACTGGACGATCAGCTGACTGGACGATCAGCTGTGGACGGTCAGCTGTGGACGGTCAGCTGACTGGACGATCAGCTGACTGTGGACGGTCAGCTGACTGGACGATCAGCTGACTGGACGATCAGCTGACTGTGGACGGTCAGCTGACTGGACGATCAGCTGACTGTGGACGGTCAGCTGACTGGACGATCAGCTGACTGTGGACGGTCAGCTGTGGACGGTCAGCTGACTGGACGATCAGCTGTGGACGATCAGCTGACTGGACAATCAGCTGTGGACGGTCAGCTGACTGTGGACGATCAGCTGACTGGACGATCAGCTGACTGTGGACAATCAGCTGACTGGACGATCAGCTGTGGACAGTCAGCTGACTGTGGACGGTCAGCTGTGGACGGTCAGCTGTGGACAGTCAGCTGACTGTGGACGGTCAGCTGTGGACGGTCAGCTGTGGACGGTCAGCTGACTGTGGACAATCAGCTGTGGACGGTCAGCTGACTGCAGGTCGGGTCACTGTTCCCCTCAGCGAACAGGAAGAGGCGATGCTGCCGCCAGCGGCCTGGTTTCCCCGGAGGCGCTCTTCAGCCTCCTCTTCCTCACCTCCCTGCTGGTTCCTGTTTCTCACATTTACTGGAAAAACAAAGTGTTGGTCTGTAGGATCCGACCTCAGACTGTTTCAGACGCGGGTCTGGACCGGAACCGAGGCGTCGCTTCCGCAGCGTTCAGGCTGGTTTGCAGTAAAACGCTGAACGCTCCTCGTTTTAGCGGCTGGTTCTGATGCAACAGGTTGTGATCAGACGTTTCATGACGGGATGCAGAGGCTGCTGTGTGGTTTCCATCCGCCTGAATTTAATCCAGTTCCAGTCGGAGCCGAAGTGTGAAGAAAAAACTCTGGACTTCAGAAAGGCCAGGAAAAGCTTCATCCGCTTCACTTCTTTGGGTTTGGGCTTTCAGAATCGACTCTGGAGTTGAAGGACAAGCAGGTTTAATTTTCTCTCTGATGAAATATAACTACAGAGCTGCAGCAAGAGGAAGAGGAGGAGGAGGAAGAGTTATGGCTGCAGCAGAGACGTTGGCGCTGCTCAAAAGATCGGTTCAAAAACTCTTCAATGCTTCGCGTTAGCACAACGCCGGGCAGGAAGACAGCAAGGAAGGAGACGCTTTAGTCCAGAAGGAGGGAAGGAAAGGACTGAAGAAGGATGAAGGTGTTGAAGAAGGAAAGGAAGAAGAAGGGAAGCAACAAACTAAGGAAACAGGAAGAGAAATGAAAGACTAAGGAAGGACAGAAGGGAGGAGTTAAGAAAGGAAGGAAGGAGAAAGGAGTGAAGGAAAGAAGGAAATAGACTGAAGAAGGAAGGAAAAGAGGAAATAGGAAGGAAGGAGGAATGTAAGGATCCTTGGGCAGCTCTGATCTTCCCAGCAACCGGGTTCAGAGAGCAAAGGTTAAAGGTCATGGGTGGCAGGTTGTGGAGTGTTTCCAGATCAGGACGGATCTCCTTATTGATCAAATGTGATCAATTAATTTCCACAGCAGCTGCTGCTAACGAACGCCTCAGTTTTCCTCCGTCTGCGATTCTCTGGAGAACAGGAAGCTGACCCGGCCGCGGTCCAAACGGGTCGCTGCCGGTTCTGGTCACAACACACCAGAGTTTGATTTGACATTTTTAATGTTGCCTCTGCAGGCAGTTTGAGTTCAACCTGCAGATGTTCCACATTTATCCACTTTAATACTTTAGAAAACTAAAGTATTAAATGTCTTTGTCCATCAAATCCCTGGGAATATTTGGAAAACCAGTCCAAGTCGAAATAAAAAATACTTTTTATGTCTGTTATGCCACAGTGATTTGTCTCTTTTCTCTTTTCAGTTTCCAGTTTCAGGCCAAACACACATTAGAAACCAGAACATTGCAGATGTTACAAAACAACCTGATTCAAATTGAAATTCTGCCATGTTGACAGAGTCCATCCGTCGTCTGATTGGTTCAGTTTGGACCCAGATTCTTTACAACCATGTTTGCTCAGATGTTTCCATCTGTTTTATTGACTGTCTGAGTGAAACAGCTGATTGTCTCAACATTCACTGTTTTCAGTTTTTATTCTGCAGCTCTTTCAGTTCAGTCCTGAAGTGGAAACCGATTAATGTGAACCGAAGCTGCAGGATGTCAGCCTCCTCTATTTCAAATAAATATAGACTTGTTAGTTTTCATTCAGTTTTTCTGCGGTCTTCTCCGTGTTTTTCCCTCCAGACTCTGCAGTCGCTGCTTTTGCTGCTTCATCAGTAAATCCTGCAGGGAATCAATAACAGCTCAGACATTTTTCACTCTTGGATATTTAACTTTCTAAAGGCTGGAGCCGAGTTTCACCTGCAAGTTTTAATCCAAATTTTCACATTTGATCAATAATTTGGCAAAGTGATGCGAGCCTCCGGCTGGTTCTGTCCTTCTCGGATGAAAAGCAGCTTCCTGTTGCCTCTGTGAGGAAAAAGGTGAAGCTTAATGGAAGGAAGCAGCTGGAGTCCATTTCTTAATGCGACAGCGCCGCGCCAGAAACTCCCAGACCTGCTGCATTTCTTTAATTCAGTGCATCAGAGCCAAGTGTGGAGCCGGCGCTCCATTTCCTGATGGAGCTGCAGGTCTGAGCCAACCAGACGACAGACATCCAGAACCGGTTCTGGTCCATTCGGGACGGCCCGCTGTGGTTTAACCGTCTTCCTGCTGATTTGAGTTGAAGTTGGAAGAATCTGAGCTGCACACCCACATGCTATTCAGCAGAAGCTAATGCTAAAACAATAAATCTGTGATTTGCTCTTAGCAAACTAAATATCTGGTTTCAAACTAAATATTTAGCTTGAAACTGACATTTATAGATTACTGATGAATTATGATGAAAATATGACTTTTAAAATGAAGTCTTAGGGGATTTTTTTGTTGTCAACTAAATATCAAAGTTATTGCTGTAATTTTATTGACTGTATTTTTACAAATGACGTCACATTTTGCTCATCGTCTGATTGTTTGAAGCAGAAACACTGAAGGGACTAAACTCGCTAAATATCCTAAAAGTTACCAGAAATGCTAAGCTAAAATGAGCTATCCTGTCAGCGCTTCAGTCTGACCTCTGACCTCTGCCCTCTCTCTTCTGTCCCCACAGATCCCGGTTCTGGTTCTGGAGACGGAGACGGTGAGTCTCTGTTGTTGTTTTTGCTTTGGGCTATTTAAAGATTTCATTTCCTGCTTCACTTCTGCTGTGACTGAAAGTCAAACAGAAATCAATTCCAGCTTCATCAGCTCTGCACACAGTAGCTGCTGCCGCTCTGAGGAGGGATTGCTGAGTGTTCCTCCTCCGATGCATATTAACTGCAGCAGTGAATCCTGCGAGGAGCCGCTAAGTCGTCCCAGAGGAGCAGGCCCAATCTCTCCGTTCTGCGGGGGCCAAGATGGAAGAAACGTCGATGCCAAATTTGGCAACAGAGACATTTTGCAGCCACCTGTGAGGACGGCCACATGGTTTGGTGTTTCATTTGGCTGGTTTCAACCCGCCTCCTCCATCTGCACGGCGGGTTGACGAGCCGCTGCGAGGAAACAGTCAAACCTCTGAGACTAATTACTGAAGCAGCCTCCAACTCTGCTGCTGGAGAATCAGCGGATAAACGGCTCAAAACCAGAACGGAACTCAGTGGCGCCTGGTCATGGAATGAAAACATATTTTACATCCTTCATGAAGTTCAAAGCAGCGCTGCACAAACCGCATGCAGGACAAATAATTGTTCCAGGCGGATTCTTGTTTCTGGTGCACTCAAAATACGCAAGCAATATTTTAAATGAACAAAGATGGACAACAGAAATGCTTCCACTGCATGTTCATTAGAAAAATAAGCAACATTGGTTGCTGGGAAAGGTTATTGGTGTGCTATACGGCGTCAGCCTATCCATGGCCTATCAATGCTAACCTAAATTAGCATCTCAGTGCTAAACATGTAGCCGCTAATGCTAATGTTAGCGTCTATGGTTCACATTTCTAAAGAAGATCCATGAAGGATCAGGACTTCCTGGAACTCTGGAAAGACAAACTTTGCACCAACTGGATGTTTGAAGAGCAGATTAAAAAATATGCAAATCGTTTCTCCCGACTGGATGACTTTTATAAATCTGTCAGGTTATGATAAGATCCTCTCAGATTTAGTTCTAGACTTTGATTAGGACGTTTCAAACCTCTAATCTTTTCTCGATTTGGCCTAATCATTGGTCACATCTTCTAAAAACTGAAATTCATCTTCAGCTTTCTAAAGAAAGCTGACCCCAGATCACCATGCTGCCCTCCGCCGTGCTTCACTGTGAATGTGATGGAAGCTTTTCTGTTGTTTTTGTGACACTTCTATCTTTTTCAGTCGTGGCTGCAGGTCTGTAGCTCCATCAGAGCGTTTTCTCCTCGGTTTGACTTGGTTCTGCTTTGTAGCAGAAAGCAGAACTTCCTGCTGCTCCTCGCGGCTCACATTAAACATCCCAGTTATTTTTATCTCCTGATATTTATTAAATTATTGAAATTTGTGCGCAGCAGCGGTTCCCAGTTGTGTCAGAGGAATACTTTGCATAAAGTAAACGTCAGTTTGAGTCTGTTAACCGTTTTCTGAGCTGGATATTAATAAAAAATGTTGTTTAGGGTCGAGAGCCTCATGCCGCTGATTTCCATTCGCTGCAGAAAGTCTGTGAGCTGCTCACCCAAACGGCGGTGATAACAGGCTGCATCTGTTTCAGGCTGCAGAATCTGTGTTTGGCCGGGATTTAACACTTGAACAGAGGAACCTTTTTCAGCCGTGAGGCAAATATCAGCGAGAGCAAAGAGGAAAACAACAACAACAGGAGTCAGAGAGGAAGCAGCGGCGTCCTGCTGTCAGCAGAAACAAAGACGCCACTCGGCTGCAGATCCACGTCAATCGATGGAGCGCCGACTGAGCCCTCCATGTTCAATAGCTACACACACAGCAGGCCAATCTGTCAGACACACACACACACACACACACACACACACACACACACACACACACACACACACACACACACACACAGTTTCTTCTCGCTGCTGCTCTTAAAGCAGCAGAAAGCCATGTGTACGCCTCTGCAGTTTAGCTGCATCGATTTGTGTTGATTTTGTTTTGCTTTAATTTCTCAGATGCAGTAACTGAAACGTTTCATCCAGGATTTAAATGGAAAAAACGCTGAACGATTTCACAACCTTCAGGAACTAAATGTTAGTTTCTGCTGCATATTTCCAGGAATTGATTCTTTTCTGTTACCAGAATGTGGATGGAAAACACGCTTCAGATAAAAACTGCTGTTGGAACCGGAAAAAAAAATGTTATGCAGTTAATTTAGGGTCAGTAAGTAATTAATCTGATTTTATTGGAAATATATGTCAACAAAATGAGCATCGTTTTCAATTCAAAAAGCCTTTTTTCTGGAAAAATTTTAATCTACAAAATAGAAACAAGATTTTTAATCTTTTCAACCATCAGTTTGGAGCAAAGTTCATCTGTTTTATGAAGTCCTGGTTTTTCCTGCAGCTTCTTTAGAAACTGGACGCTGACATTAGCATTAGCAACATGTTAGCATTAAGTTGCTAACATCTTTCAGGACAACCTGAAAACAGTGACTGTGTTTTTCATCATTATCTGCACCAGAAACACAAAGTTCCTGCTGAAACTTTTAAATGAATGAATGAATGAAATTAGAAGCCAGGAGACCTGAAACATCTCAGTCCTCCATCAGGTTTCCATCCGAACCTCTGAACCTCGGTTCCCTCTGTGGTTCCCTCTGTGGTTCCTCCATCTTGCTGTGGATTAGTTTCCTTCTCTCTGCAGGATTCAGCTTTTCTTTTGTTTTACAACAAAATTGCACCTGATGAATCATGAAAATGGCTCTGCTGATGAAAGGCAGCCCTGAATAATCCCTGCGGCTCTTTGGCACTGTTAGCGCTTCGCTGCTGGAGAATGGACGTCTCCATGCGAGGCGGCATTAAACGCTGTAATGATGATAACAATATCAGATGATGATGTGGCGCCTCGGTTTCTATTTGGCTCATAAGCCTGAGCGGCCTCCACACGCTCAGCTGTGTCTGATGGGAAAGCGCCTGAGCCGTGGCCCGCCGATGGCGGGAAGAGACGCCGCCGCTAACCAGAACTAAATCCACCAGAACCAAATCCGCCGCCAGCTGCAGCTTGTTTTCAAAATGAAATGAAGCCACTCTTCTGGAAAAGAGGCAGAACAAATAAAAAACTGATTATTACGTTCAGCGATGAAGATCTGAAAACATGAAGAGCTGCGCAGGCGGAGCAGAATCCGACAGGCGGAGCAGAATCCGACAGGCGGAGAAATTAACAGCAGTTTAACAGAAACAGTCGCAGGTGAATGATGATGGATTTCCTTCAGCTTTAGTTTGACTTTGAGGAAACAGATGAAACTTCTGAAAGTTTTTCCTCTGGTGCTTTTATGGAGCATCAGGGTTTAAAGATCCAGAGTTTAATAAACCAAACATTGAGTGATGAACACAGTGAACATCGAGTCATTCTGGTAGACATGCTGGTGGAGAAACGACCTCCATAATCAGCTTCCCTCTGAAAACTGATGGTTTGGACTCCTGGACAGGAAGTCATTGGAGACCCAACTTCCTGAACGACCAGCTGGATTCATCACATCGTCCTCAGCAAGAAGAAACTGGTTCCACAGACTGGGCCTTCCTGGTCAGAACAGCCCAGTGAAGGATGCTCCCCATGCCAGAGGTCACCAGCCAGTCTAAGTTTGGGATTAGAGGGATGAACCGGGTCCAGTCCAGAGGATAAACGGGTCTGGACTGAACACAGACACACAGCCTGAGGCTTGGTGTGACAGAAACGGGTGCATATTTCTGCAAGGCTCAGGATGAAGTTCAGTGTTTGCTGTTGCTGAAGCGTTTTTCCCTCTCTGCCCGTCGACAGACGATGAGGGCTCAGCCTCCGACGGCGGGAAGAAGTTCACCAAGTGCAGCACGTGTAAATATGGAGCCGAATGTGACGAAGACTCCGAAGATGTCTGGTGAGCAGAAGCTAACGAGTAAAAAGCTTTCATTGGTTCACAGATGCGTGATGTCACCACTGCTGGCTAACAGGTTAGCGGTGTTAAGCTAATCATAAACATTAGCTCTGCTAATGCTAAAGTGCTACATGGTATTTAGCCAAAGCTAATGCTAAGCCGCTAACGTCAGTTCAAATTACATCTGCTCTTGAAAGAGTCAAATTTATTTTTGACGTTATATTTTATATTTCTCTTAGATATTGTATTCGTGTTTATTTCTTGCTGTCCATGTTTTTACTTTGTAATGTCTTTGTTTTAAATAAAGTTATTGGAGAAACAACAAGAACATGAAGAGAGGAAATGGAACTCCTGCTTAAACAGCCTTCAAAATAAAAGCATGTGTGTAAAAGGATTAAAGCATTTTAAGTTTAAAACCAAAACTTCAACACAGATGTTGAACTTTATTCAGATGAAAGTTAAAGCAGCCTAAATAATTTAACAGGGAAAATTAAGTTCACTAAACATTTTCATGTCAACTAAAACACTAAACCAGATATGAGCAGAAGTGTCTCTGCTATTTACTACCACTAAAATCATATTCAGGTAACTATTAATGAGCAGATGAAACATATTACGATATTCGAGAGTTAGCTTAATGTTTGAAGAAAGAAATGGATCAAAATTTTGCATTAAGCTGCAGAGAAACATGAAATCTGCCCTGAAATGTTGAGTTAAGTTAAAATAATCTGAATGTTTTGGAGCTGTGTGTCAGAAATGGGTTCAGTTTCATTTCCTGGGGTATTGTTCTGATGGATGACCTTTGCCCTCAGGTGCATATGCAACATTGACTGCAGCGGCCACAATGAGAACCCGGTCTGCGCTACAGACGGAAACTCGTACAACAACCCGTGCCTGGTCCGCGAGGCTTCGTGCATGAAGCAGGAGCAGATCGACGTCAAACACCTGGGACGCTGCCTCGGTAAAGTTATGGCACAAAAACACGTCTGAAAATGAGCGTTTGTGAAAAGCGGTTAATGTCAGGCACAGATTCAACACCAAACCTCTTCTGCTCAGAGTTTATCTCCATCTCTGACCTCATGTGGTCTAGTCCAAGGCCGTTAACGGCTCCAAACACATTTAAAACCAGAGGAGACGAATCTTTCAGGGACTGAAAGGACTTCAGTGACATCAGGCTGAGTTTATCTGATCTGTGTGAAACATGTCCCAATAAGCAATAAATCAATTAACTGCATGATCAATTAAAGTAAAACTGATTATTTCCATGACGACTACAATAGCCAAAGATTCAGTGTTGTTGTTTTGATTTTTCAGAGGGCGTACTGACATTAGTATATTGTAGCAATCTTTTGATTGGTCTGAAATGACAATATTATCATTTATCGCAATAGTTTCTGTTATTGGTCAGCCGAGTTGTGATGTCGCCTCTTTGACACAGATGATGAGCAACAATCTTACAGGAGGCTTTTATGTTGAAACAATGTTTATTTGGTAATAAATGAACCAAAACGTGCCAGAAAACGATTCTCCCACAGCATGACGCCACCTCCACCGCCCTGAAGTGTTGATTAAAGGCGGGTTGTCGTTTATTCCAGCCTCAGTTTCCAGCCTCACATCTAATGTGGTTTTTGAGCTTTTTATGCCTTTTTATCATCTGGAATCAAAACTATCTGCTGATCACTGGATGTTTTCTCTTCTTTGGATCTGTATCTATCATCCTGAGAAGTTTGTTGGTTGTTGGTGAAAATTCCATCAGATCAGACAGTCTGGCACCAACAACCGAACCACATTCAAAGTCCCTTAAATCTGCTTTCTTCTGCCTCCTGAAGCCCATTTTCAAACTGAACAGGCTGTCGTCTTCAGGTCCAGATGTCTCAATCCGTTGAGCTGCTGCGTTGTGATTGGCTGATTGCTGTTTGTGCTAACGAGCGTTTGGGCTGGGGAAGCTTTGTAGCCTGAAGAAGGAGCTAAAGCTTGTTTGTGGACAGAGGAGCTGCGTTTCAAACAGGATTTCATCATTTTCCAGATTCCTTCATCTTCTCGCTGAGATGTTTTCTAACTTCACACAGATTCACAGATGCAGGACGGATGGCGCTCCTCTCCTGCTGATCACTGCTGGCTGCAGAACCGTGACGGTTTAATAATCAGTCTCGTTACTGAAACCATGTCAGTCAAATTAATGCGTCTGATTGCCGACGTTTTCAATTAGGAAGCGAACGGAGCATGCAGGCTGTAATACGGAGTTATTAATGCAAACCTTGTCGACGTGATACGGACAGAAGGTTCTGGAAAACCGACTGCAGCGTTAACATCTTGTCTGACATTCAGGCACTTTGGTTTGCTGAGAAATGCAGGATTTATTTGAACAACTTGGAAAGGAAACATTTGCATATTTCCATGTTGGTGCAAACAAATGTTTATTTTCTGATCCAGCAGATAAAGAGGAACTTAATTGTTCACTTGCAGCAGGATGTCCACATAATTAGCTCCAACATTTGCTCCCATTTATCTGCTTTTCCAGCTTCTGCCAAATAAAAGTGGTGAAGCTGATGAGCTGCTGTACTGTAAAGCTGTGACTGCAGCGTTAAGAGCTGCAGACTGTCGTCCAAAATGAGCAGGACGCTAACCGCTCTGCATGAAGTGATGAAGATAAATGCAAACAAAGATGTATGGACAAAAAAACTGGAGAAAACAAAAGGACAGAGTGAGCCATTGTTTAGATGTTTGGAGGTTTTTTTAAGTCAAACTTCTAAAATTTCACCTTAGAGTCAAAAAATTCTCATTTTAATTTTGACCATATGGTCAAACTCAGTGGTGGGAACTGCTAGCTAAAAGGCTAGCTGTGCTAAAGCTAAAGTGCTAATCATAAACATAGTTTTGCTAAAGCTAAAGCGCTACAACAACATGCTGCTAACCACCATTAACTGTTTCCATTTCAAATGTGTGCAGAAGCTTTTCCATAATGAGGAGAAAAACTTTGGTGTTTGTTAAAAATGCCAACAGATGTTGACACTTTTATGTATTTAATGTTGCTATTAAGCAAATAGATTTTTGTAATTCTAATTTCTGCAGTTTTATGGTCAAATTAAATGCAGCTGCAGAAACCACCATGAATGTTTATGGCCAAATGAATTAGCTTTTATTTGACTGAAGCTACGTGTGCTAAGTGTTCGCATAGTTAGCTAAAGCGCTAAATAACATATTATCTCGTTATTAGTGGATTAACGGAACCAAACCCTGAATCCTCCTGAATGTTTGGTCCATTTCAGTCCAGTTTGTTTGAATGAAGGTCTACTTCATTTATTCTGTTTCTAATAACTCATGCGGCACAAAGTGCTTTCCAAGCTAAACCTCAGCTGAAAATGCATGATAATGTTGCATATCAAAAAGATAATTAAAAAACAAAACAATAAAGGTTTAAAGGATTTTACATTCATGCCAATGTTTCCACTTCAGGTCGTTAACGGCGACTAACGACCTGAGAAACTGCAGATATGAAATGAGTTTCCTGTAGAGGACGACTGCTCTCAATCTGAGGGATAAAACGAGCAAACTGAGAGTCAATGAACATTATGACATGAATGCAAACCCGGCCTTCCTTCCTTTCTGTCTGTCTGTCTCAGTCCTTCTGCTGACAGAAGGATGAATGAAGTGGCTGTGATCCCAGACACGATGGAGGGATTACAGGTCTTCCTGAGTGTCAGGTTTTTAGAGTGCAGGAATATTTAGAGGCTTTAAGACGGATTGAGTGTCTGTTGAATCGCTGTGGAACAGAGATACCCTTTGGCTTTTTCATTAACCTCACCCATTAACAAGAGAAACGACTCCGGTGGATTAAATCTGCAGTTACTTCAGCAGTTTTTACACTTCCAGCCGCTCTCTGATGTCAGGTTTTAAAATATGCAGAAGAATGAGTCAGAGCGGCTTTGATGCTCTGAGTGTTGCATACAAACCTGATTTGCAGTCGCAGCTTGATGTCTGATGTTGTTCAAAGCCGGAGCCAACGCCCAGCATCGCTCCGGCCCGCCGCAGCTCACATCAGATTTATGCTTTAGACTCACCTTGAATCCCAAGTGTGGGCCGCCGCGCCGTCCCTCTGAGCTGCTGGCGGCGAATCGCAACACGCAGAGATTTATGGATTTCCTGTCAGCGTTTGTGGCTTTAAGGCGGCCGTGAGCAGGAGCCTGATTGGACGGTGCCAGTTGGAGGGGAGGGGGCTGTGTGGGTGTGTGACGCCCTGAGGTGATGAACACCTGCCCCCCCCCCCTCCCTCTGATCGGCTGTCACTTCCAAAACACAGGAAACAGATAATGGAGAAATAATAGAGACATTTATAGATCTGATCCAGAGCTGCAGGAGCCACTTTGGGTCACGTCTGACCAAAAAATAAATTAGCAAACTAATTTATTTTCTTATAAAGCAAAATTCAGAGCAGCGAACCCTGGTTACCGTGGTTACAGGTTACTTTCAAGTCTATTTACCTTTCAGACGCGGAAAATTCAAAAAGAAAGACATTAAAACATCAGATATTAAGAATAAACACCAAACAGCAGCGTTTCCATCGACCTTCAATTTGTGCAAACTGGAATTACAAAACTAAATTTGCTCACAGGAAAAAAACAACTTTCACGTTTTTGATGGGAAGTTTTGCTGCTTGTGGTTTTCAGCAAAACTGCAATGGGAACAGTTTTTGCATCCCGAGTCACATGATCAACAACAGGATGTTACTACTGCTGGAACGACAAAGAGAAAAAGAGACAACAGGAAGTGGTGGAGGATGACGGGGCAGCCATGTTTTTTAATGACTTGTCATGTGACCAAACTGATTGTTCACGTGTGACTTTAATGTTGTTTCTTGTTTAATGAAATTGTGTTTTTTTCCTCATTAGTGGAATATCAACAGTTTTGTTCACATTAATAACGGAAGAGCAGCTTCAGGTAGTTTATCCTGAAACGCTGCAGCTTCAATATTCATCCATTCATGTAGAAACCAACATGTCTGCTTGCTGTGAATGTGTTGCTCTGTAGGTGCAACACCTACCTAAACAGAAATAAAACCAGACAACGTCCCGGTTTAACTGGAGAGAAACAAAACCAGATTTTCTCCTTGGTTTGCAGATCGACTCTTTCCAGAGCTGCAGAGTGAAACCAAACCCACTCATCCATTTTTAATGCTGCATCGATCAGGAGGAAATATTGACAATATCTCAGCCTGCTTTGTGTCTCCTCCTTCATCCCTTCATCCTCACCGACCTCCCACGTGTCACTCGTCTTTTCTTTCACCCTCTCACCTCTAAGCAAGCAGAAAACAGAACCGCTAACAGAAGCCGAGTGTTTCTGGGTTGGTGTTGCACTGAGAGAACTGAAGTGTGAGGCGGCAGAGCTGGGATTCCTGAAAAGTGCGGGCGGATCTCATTAAGTTTCACCAGTTTCTGCCGCTCATGTATTTTTAATGCAGATCGGAGTCGAGCGTTTAAACGAGCTTCGAATCCACCAAAGACACACACACACACACACACACACACACACACACACACACACACACACACACACACACACACACAGTGTTTATTAGTGTCGCACATTTCAGCAGCAAGGCGGATCAGCGTGTTTCACTCCATAAAACATCTGAGGATCCAGCCATGAAACGAGCAACAAATCAAATCTCACATCAGAGACGTTGATCAAAGTTATTTTAATCAGAGGTCCATCCAAACGGGTCGTGTTCAGGTTTGATTTAAAGGAAGTTTCAGCATCTTTAGACGCGTCCAATCAATAATTTTATTGCAAAAAATATGTGATCAGTTTCAGTAGAAAATCCATTGGATAGAATCTGCAATAAAATGAATTCTGATCCAGAAACGCACAGCATTCTGGGAGATGTAGGCAGAGGAAAGACATTAGCAGCTAAGCCTCTCATAGCTAGCTTAACAAGCTCGGTTGCTAGTTAGCAAGCTAGCTATGAGAGGCAATAGAAGTGGAAACTATTAACTCTCTCACCGCTAGGTAACTCTGGTTACCTAGCAACAACCTGCCTTGTAACTTGCGCAGCAGCAGTTTCAGGTTTGGCTTGATGACAAACAATGATGCAGAGTAAAAACCAGATGTATAACTTTTTATTTTTGTGTTTTTACTGCCTGGTTGCTGAAATCTGCAACATAAATAAATTCATTTTACTGAATGTTTGACATTTTAGATTAGAAATCACAAACAGAGAAATATTCATCAAATAAATGTAAATTATGTCCTCAGAAAATGAGCAAAACTGGTTTTAACCCAGTTTAGGTTGAAAACCCAGAAACCAGCTGCAGCAGAAACATTCAAAGTACAAAAAAATCTGTAAATCCAGATTTTATCCAAAGGCCTTGAAGTTTCAGTTCCAGATCTGATCAGGTTCCAAGAATGATCCCAGACTTTCATGTGTGTGTTTAGGCTTCAACTTCCTGTCAAAGCTGACAGAGAAACAGCAGAAGCAACATGGAGGCTGGTTAAGAATCAGAACAGCTCCTCCTGCAGGCGGCGAGAGAGCATTACACCCGCTGGCAGCAGCAGCTGCAGCAGCTTTGTTTGTTTTCACCCATCACTCTCTGACACACACACACACACACACACACACACACACACACACACACACACACACACACACACACACACACACAGATTCTTTGACAGGAAGTCGCGCGGTCAGACGATGACAGCAGGATCCGCCTGGAAGAGCCTGAGCGTCTGATGTAACGGCGCTGGATGTTTGCGAAGCGTTTGTGTCTGATGTGATTCTCTCTGTTTCCCACAGCAGATAAAGAAAAGCTGGGGAAGAAGGACGACAGCAACCCCTTCAAAGTCAACGTGTTGGGTGAGGCCGCCACGCCGCACTGACCTGGACCGCTGCAGGTTCCCGTCAGCCGCCCGCTCGGTTCTGTTCAGGACCGTTGGACCGAACAAACACAAACCTCTGTGGAAATAAACCTCTAATCCAAACAGTTCAGATTAAATAAATAAACTCCTGGTCCGACTTCACAGCCACACAAAACCGGGTCAGAAGCTGCTGCCTTCTTCTTCTGTGGTTTACGTCGTTTGGGGTCGTAAACCTTCACACTGAGGTCTGATTCAGTCACATTTAATTTGTAGGAAGCGAGACGAAAACCTGAGCTGAGCATCAGGTCCGAACGTAGTTTTAGTTTCTCCTGAAAATGGGAAAAACAAGCAAACATTTTCTCAGCGTCCACGTCTACAGTCAGAGAAGTCATTAAAAGCCCAAATAAAACGAGGAGACGAAATAAAACATCTCTAACGCTCACTGCAGAGAAGAGTGACCTTCTCTGCTGACCTTCACTGACCTTCACTGACTGTCTAACCGTAACCAGTGTTTTATTTGAAAGTGTTTTAGACCCTCAGGGTGAAGAGTGGAGTCTCCTGACAAACAACTCAGCTTTTATAAAATCCTCTGCAAGTTAAACACCAAAAATCCTGGAAGTTCTGGATTTAGTTTCATGTTTCCTCCCACTTGAAGGTGCAGATAAAAAAAGAGAAACTGTATTCTGTCTTTTTGAAAAATAAGTAAAAAATGATTATATTTAACACAAAGACATGTAAAATATTCAAATGTATGAACTGGAAACAAACACAAAGATGTGATGTCATTTTATTCTGGACATTTTTTCTGATGCTAACAGGCTATGCTAACTAGCTTTCTAACTTCTTGCCTTCCTCATTCCCATAACTGTGATGGTGAAAATCATGCTGGTGTATTTGCTCCTCCGTCCTGCAGAAACCACGGGTCTGGACCAGGGCGAGGGTTTCTACGCCGGCATGCCGATCCCCTGCGCCGACAGCTACGCCGGATTCTGCGTCCATGGGAAATGTGAGATCAAGTACAACATGGCCACCTGCAGGTCAGCCTGAGTTACAGCTGATGTAACATGAAAACGCAGCTTTTAGCTCCAATCTGGACCAAACGTGTTGCTTTGTGCACTGAAGCTGTGAGTTTTTAGGATTGTTTCGTCATGTTTCAGCTCGTTTGCTCAGTAATTAATTATCTGTCACAAAACGGTGGGAATAATTTGCACATGTTTTTCTGCATTTCCTGATTTTGTTGCTGCTTTGCTGCTTTTTGCTGCTGGCCTGTTAGCATGTTGCTAACGTAGCGTGTTTCCGGGTGCAGGTGTGACGCCGGGTACAAAGGCACGCAGTGCGACGAGCCGCAGGACTTCAACATCCTGTACGTGGTCCCCAGTGGACAGAAGCTGCACTACGTCCTGATCGCCGCCATCATCGGAGCCGTGCAGATCGCCATCATCGTTGCCGTGGTGATGTGCATCACCAGGTGAGCGGCTGATTTCACCGAAACGCCGGTTTATCATCAGATTACAGCACATCATCAGGACTGTCTGACAAAAGGAAACATGTTTTAATGAGAGCAAAGGTTTGATGCCGTCAAATGAGTTGAAGTATTTCTTTATTTGTAAAACTCATTTAATGTTTTATTTAAAATCACATGAAATGAGATTTCCTCCATAGTAATAATGACTTTGTCCTCAAACTAAAAAATAAGAAATTCTTAGCCTACAATCTTTTTAAATAAAGATGCATTAAAATCTTATTTACTGAATTTTTGTGACGATAAACATAAGAAACGTTGTTTTTTTTTTCTCCATTTGTTTCCAGGAAATGTCCGAAAACAACCGCGGCCGGCGGCAGAAACAAAACCTCGGCCACTTTTCCTCGGACACGAACTCCCGGATGGTATAGCCTCGTTTCCGGACGCTTCTCTTTGATAAGTATTTTTCTTATAAGGCAGGAATGCCGATTTTTTAAACAGTAAGCGGGACATTTTTTTTTCTCCTGGGGAAAAAAAAACAATAAAGAAAAATCAAAATATTTATTTAAGAGGCCTTATCTTTCCTGGTGGATTTTCATTTTTCTTTTCCAAGCAGCTGAATTGACACAAGCGCCGGCATTTTGTTGAAATCCTTTCGGTCAGCTGGCTCACGAAGCAGCGTCTGCCCCTCTGGAATGTGATATCTATTGATTTTTATCCATGAAATCTTTCCCGCCTGTTCTGCTCCTTACTAATAACGTCCAGCTGATCACCAAACGTAGTTGGGTTTTGAGGCTCCAATAGATTCTTTTGCTCTTTTTGTTTGGTTTGAAATTTTCTTTTTTAGGCTTCAGTTTAAATAAGCTAATAATTTATAAGGATTGTTTTCGCTTAGCCTACAATCTTTTTAAATAAGGCGGGAATGCCGATAGTTTTTACGTTGGTTTTGGTTCTGACTTGTAGTTCATGTAAATTAGCATGACTTGTGAAAACTGTGTACTGTGGTGTAGTTGAAACTTTTTACCAGGAAATGTCTGGACCCGTCTGGGTCGCTCCGACCCGCCGGTGTTGAAACGATGAATGTGGGTTTGTGGGAAGGCGAGGACCTCCGGAGGACGTTTTCCTGATCGGCTCAGAGGCTGGAATGTTTTCTGCATCTTGTTCGTATTAACAGGGAGTTGAAGATCATAACAAAGGACTTTTTGACATGGAGGAAGTCTGGGGTCTTTGAATGTTGTGTAAAGGTTTTATATTATTTTCATTTTGCATTTTCTTCTCTGTGACACATTCCAAGCACATGGAAACCCACTGAGAAATTCCCTTTGGGAATGTGTGAAGCCCGCTCTGCCGTTTCCTACAAACAGGAATAAAAACGTCTTTAAGGTGTTAGTGGTGTGCAGGTAATTACTGCCTTTTAATTTTTAATTTAATTACATTGTTTTGTCGTATTAACGTTTTGAAGTCTTGAGCCCAGTTCTTGGTTCTGTGTCGGTATGTATGTAACGATCCAAACGGGTCAGTCTGATGTAAATCATTGTCCTTTTTCATGTTGTTCCCAATAAAGAAAAGTCAGACATGTCACATCATCGTCATGTTTTCTCCAGCAGAGATCATCATGTAAATACAGAAACAACGTCTGCAGCTTTTCTTTGTGATTAAATGTTGGTGGTTTATGAATAATAATAATGCGTTTATACAAGTGATTCTCAACATGCAAAACTGAAAACATTTCATTCAATGTGGAATCATCACAGTAGATCCCAGCGGTGAGCAGCGCTAACTTGTGTTTATGATTAGCGCTAAAACTAAAGCGCTAATCATAACCATTAGCTCAGCTAACCTTAAACTGCTACATCAACACGGTATTTTTTTATTTGTTTGCTTATTTGACAGAAACAAGAAACAGATGAAGACGATCTGATGAGCCTCAGAGTTTATAGCAGCAGCTAATTCACAACATCCGTCGCTAGCAGGACCAGTCGATTAAAAGCTACGATCAGCAGAATAAAATGATGAAAAAAGACATAAAAGAAAATATTTAACAGTTTAAGAGTCAATAAACATCAACACAGATGTCAAACTTTATTCACTTAAAAAAACAGGCAAATAAATTAACATTTTAGAAGTTAGATGGAAAAATTCAGGGGAAGCTAAGTATGCTAACCATTTGAAACATTAGCCTCACATTTGCGGATTAGCAAAAATGTTCCTACAATTGGAAAATTTAAATTAGTCATTTTAAATTATCTCATTTTCTGGACCAAACGTATAATAACCATGTCAAACGAAACGCTTTTCACCATTAAACTACCATTAAAGCAAATCCTGTTAAAAAAACAGCCAAGTGATTAAACAGCAGCAAACATTGTTATATTAACATTTAAATGTTATCATATTGGACCATTAATAGCAAAGATTTAACGATTATTTGCTCCATAAATACAACATGGAGGTGGCGCGTCACCAATAATCTTCCTGTATGAAACAAATCCCCAGGATGAAACGTCAAACATTTCTCCTCAGGGACTGGAGGGAAAACAGCAGTTTTAATAAAATGATTTTAACCTCTTTGATGTTTCTGCTTTCAGCTTTTTTTATTTTGAATGCGGTTTGTCTGACCAGAACGGCTTCATGTAATCTGGTCAGAAACTGAAATCCAGGTTTTCATATTATTACACATTATTGTTCTGGTTGTAGCGACACCTGGTGGCGCTGTTCCCTGTCTGTAAACACCTGCTCAGTTTTAGCAGCTCCAGTCATGAATATGAACCACTTACTGTGAAAACTAGCAGAGTGACTGAGATCATTTAAATATGAAAAATCTGACAAAAAAAACTTCCAAGTGGAAACAAAACTGACATTCAGGAACATTTATAGCAGCTGAATGATTTATTTCAGTACTTTAACTTGTGATCTGTTTGGCTTCCTGTGTGAAACCCAGACAGACAGCAGGACATGTTGGCTGGAACCTGGTCCACGACTCGTCTTTATTTATTCAGCTTTACAGACGCTCATTTGCATATTTATTACACTAATTAACATAAAACCAGTGAAAACATCCAAAAACCCAAACTGATCAGGACTCAGCATGTGGTCTTCATCGGTTTTTGTGTCTTTGAACTGAAGGTTCTGTTTGTGAAGAATTCAGTCGTTAAAACTGGATTTTTGTGCCGCGGTCCGGATCGTTTCTCCAGAGGTTCTGTTCTGTTTGAGTCGGGTTTTCTGGGCGTCTCCAGGTTCTTCCACCGTTTCTCTCATTGTGAATAAAGCGTGTTTGACATGTTGTCGTTGTGCATGGAGACCCTGAGAGGCTGTTTTAAAATAAAACCAGTTTTTATTCACATCAAACTGCTGCTGTGTTGATGATTTATATCTTCTCTGTGATCTTGTGTTTGACTTGTCAGTTTTTTGTGCATAATATTCATATTATTGTTCATTTCAGCCCCTCCATATAACCTGCAAAACAATAACAGAGCTGCTTTAAAAAGTCTTTGAGCCACAATTTTCCTGGCAGTTTAATCGGCTCGAGTTATTAAAGCGCCACAAAGACATAATTGCTCCCCTGGTTTCATTGTTAGTCTGTTCTTTATGTTTTATTCCAGTTTTTATAGGTCATTAAATGAGCGAGACGTAAATCATTATTATTAAGTTTGTCAGGCTGTTATAAAGGCTCCGGCTCGGTTGACTTGTTTTATCCTGATTGTTTTCCATTTTCTACATGTTATTATTTCTCTCTGTAGTTAAATCATTTTAAAAGAACAACAGAGAGAAATATTAATAAATTTCTCCCTTCACTGATTATCCTTCTGAACCATCTGACTCCTGAAACATGAGCAGTAAATTAATTTTTTATGTCAAACAGCCACATTTCACCACTAACCACAACGCTAGCTGCGCTAACGCTAAGTGCGTGTGTGCAGACATGTTGTGTAGCGGAAGCTAACGCTAATGCGCTAACTTAATTTCAAACCCTTGTTTTTTTCTTAATTTTTATCCAATAATCAGTTTTAAAACCAAATGGATCCACAAATTGACAAACAGTTTCATGATGGTCAGTTTGTTCAATGCAAGGAAAAATCTGTTGCTGTTTTTAATTAAACTGATCGTTAGAACAGGTGAAAAGTTTGAATTGACATGTTTTAGATTTGGAAGTAGCCGGTCATGTTTACCTCATTATTGAATCAGTTATGGAGAAGCACACAGAAAAATAAACTCTGGTTTGCATGTTATCTTATATTGCTGGTGACCTTCAGTTATTGGACCAGATGTCATGATGTTTGGTGCTGAGCCTCAACCTGGACTCTGATTAACGTCCTGCAGTGATTCTGCTGCTGTAACAAGCAGAGACGGTTCGGTCCGGAGCATCAGGCTCATATCAGGCCAATTACAGAAACTCTGGGAGTTTGTGGATGGAAACAGGGACAGATGAGGTTGTTTATGGCCTTCGGCCATTATTATAAATCTCCACCCACCTGCCAGCCGAGCCAGAACATCATTAACTGTCTAATTAAAAACTGCTTATGTGAACAAGCCGAATAAACCAACAGCAGCGAGAGGCAAACAGGGGGCAAAGGGGGAGGGGAATGGAGGCAAATGGGGGGGTTAGAGGCAAATGGGGGGGTTAGAGGCAAATAGGGGGGTTAGAGGCAAATAGGGGGGTTAGAGGCAAATAGGGGGGTTAGAGGCAAATAGGGGGGTCTGAGACCCTGTAAATGTATATTTAAAGGCTAAAGGCTGTGTGTGTGGTTGTGTGTGTGTGTGTGTGTGTGTGGTTGTGTGTGTGTGTGTGTGGTTGTGTGTGTGTGTGCGTGGTTGTGTGTGTGTGCGTGTGTGTGTGTGTGTGGTTGTGTGTGTGCGTGTGTGCGTGTGTGTGGTTGTGTGTGTGTGTGTGTGGTTGTGTGTGTGTGTGCGTGTGTGTGTGTGCGCGTGTGTGTGTGTGTGGTTGTGTGTGTGTGCGTGTGTGTGTGTGCGTGTGGTGTGTGCGTGTGTGTGTGTGCGCGTGTGTGTGCGTGTGTGTGTGTGCGCGTGTGTGTGGTTGTGTGTGCGTGTGTGTGTGTGTGTGTGGTTGTGTGTGTGTGTGTGGTTGTGTGTGTGTGAGGTTGTGTGTGTGTGTGTGTGGTTGTGTGTGTGTGTGTGGTTGTGTGTGTGTGTGGTTGTGTGTGTGTGTGTGGTTGTGTGTGTGTGTGTGGTTGTGTGTGTGTGTGGTTGTGTGTGTGTGTGTGTGGTTGTGTGTGTGTGTGGTTGTGTGTGTGTGTGTGGTTGTGTGTGTGTGAGGTTGTGTGTGTGTGTGTGTGGTTGTGTGTGTGTGTGTGTGTGTGTGTGTGTGCGTGTGTGTGTGTGTGTGTGTGTGTTGGGGCAGCAGCAGCTGCTCGGTTCTCTCCGCTGCATTCAGCAGCTTCTCATGACTCCATTGTTCAGGAATTTTTGCCTCCGGTTCTCCACCAAACCTCAGGCAGCAGGACGGCGTTTCCTCTCCCAAAGATTTGATGAAAACATCCAACATCACCAGATAAATGGTCACCATGATGGACGAACCCTACAGGCGTCAGTCTGAGACGAATCTTTGACCGTTTCTCCTCTAGATCAGGGTGTCCAAAGTCTGGCCTGGGGGCCATTTGTGGCCCTTGAAACGACTTTGATCGGCCCCCTGACTGCAAATCAAGAACGATAAAAAATTTGACCAATAAACCAGAAATCAACAGTTTATCCCAAAAACGTTTCAATTGTGTGTTTTTTTAACAAGACAGCAGGTCAAAATTATTTTCATGTTCTCCATCTTTAAGGATTTATAGGTTTCGTAAAATTTCACTGATCAACCAGGTGAAACTAAGAAAATCACTATAAACAGTTTTTAGCATGTTATTGCTGAGCGCAGTGACGAAACGTTTGGACGCCATGTTGGTGTGGAACCGGCGGCTCCGGGGCCACATGGGACCTGAAGACCCTCCAACACTCAAGATTAAGATCCAGTTACATTAAATTCTTAAGATTAGTGTGTTTTTATCACATGCCAGCTTTAGCTGTTTGGCTGAACTGTTTCATCTCCACTCTCTGTGATCTTCTCTGCAGGTCACAAACTTTCTGCAGGTTTTATGCAACATGTTGAATATTTTGGCTTCTGCTTCCCTGGACCGAACCTTGAATAAATAAAGTATTTTTGCATTAAATTGAAACTAACTGCATTGCTAAATGTTGACAATTTCATCAGTTTCCATTGCTGCTGTTAGCGGATGTAGCTTGTGCATCAGATATACAGATGTACCAGAAACATGCAAATACAAAGGTTCCATTTGGAGCTTTTATATAAACAAAAGGAAGAAATGGAACAAGTTACCTAATTAATTAATGAATCAACATTAAAAACTTCTCAAGAACAATAATCACCCGTTCAGCCAGCAATGCATCTTGGGATAAGATGAGCTGAGAAATAAACATCCAATCTGGGAGAAGACAGGAACATTTGGAGAAAAATCAAAATGGCGCCTGTGTAACGATATATCTGCACCCCAGGAAAACAGGAAGTGATCACTTCAAATTAAAGGGTCCTAGAATTCCTGATCAACTTTAAAAATTAATTCTGATCTATAAAAGCACTTTAGTGTCATTTCTAGCATTGGAGCAGATCTTAATTTGAATGCTTCACAGCACATTTTCATTGAAATAAATGAAAACGAGGCGATTTGCTTGTAGAGCTGAACTCTGGAGCCTTCAGCTCTATAAACGGCTTCAGATCTCAATGTTTGGACTCTGCTGCCTAAAGGCCAGAGCTGCTCTGAGCCATCAGAGCAGGAATGGCTGCAACTGTCGCTCAGAAACCCAGGATGACTCCTGCTGATGATGTACATGTTTCACAGCTGCTTACAGGAACAGAAGTGGAAATTATTGGAAATTATGAATCACTGCACATGGCGGGTAACAAAGCGGCGCAGGACTCAGAGGGCTGCTTGCATCGCCTGAAATGTCAACGTGTCGCCTTACAGGGAGCTCATATTTTTAGCTTAGTTCTGCAGGCTCAGAGTTTAGTGCCTGGCCCACGTCCCATGGAGATCTGAATCAGGATCCTTCGGTGTCCTCACACCTATTTTTAAAGGGGGGTAGGTGGAGTTTCCCGTCTCTCTTGCGCCCAGACCTGAGTTTGGGTCACAGCGGTTGGGTGTTGCCTCTCTCTGGTCTGCTGGTCCCAACGCTCCTCAGACCGAACCTGCAAATTCACTCTGTTGTCCAAAACATCCCCAATGGATCAGCACAAGCTGCGCTCGGCAGGCGTCCAGGAGAAGCTGGAGATCGTCGGGGTGGAGGACGAGGCCGGCAACCCCATCAGCGCCCTCACCATCCTGTCGCTGCTGGAGCGCGTGGCCGGCATCATCGACAACGTCCAGTCCTGCCAACAGCGAATGGAGGAGCGTCAGCTGGAGCTGGAGAACAACATCAAGACCATCCAGGGCGACGTCCTGAAGCTGGCCAAAGACCACAGCGACACCAGCGGCACCGTGGAGAAGCTCCTGCAGAAGACCCGCAAGGTGAGCGCCAACGTCAAGGAGGTCCGCACGCGCGTGGAGAAGCAGAACATCCGAGTCAAGAAGGTGGAAACGACGCAGGACGAGCTGCTGACCCGCAACAAGTTCAGAGTGGTCATCTACCAGGTAAGACGAGACGCCGTTCAGCTGCCAGCGCCGGGACTGAACCCAGACGGCCGGGTTCAGTTCCAGGGTGTTTTCCACCTGAAGGTCCGACAGGCATGGTTTGATCTGGAACCAGAACTTCACCATCTGCTCCACCTCCAGCTGCTGTGGTTCTGAGTGAACCAACCTGTTCCCCTCCTGGCCTGTGGGGGCGCTGCTCCAAGAACCACTGAAGGAAACGACACAACAACTCTGAGCGCAGCTTCCTTCTTCACCAGATGGAAACAGAAATGGAGGCGTCAGAGTTTAGCGGTTGGAAGATTTATCTTTAGTCTGGTACGTTTGTTTGGGTTGAATTTACCCAGAATGCCTTGTGCTCTCGTCCATTTCCTGGGTTCACTTCAACCAGAGAAAGAAATGGCCAAAATTTGGTTGATGCATTCAGACTTTTGCACACCAACTGATCAAAGTGAACTGAAGTGGCTGAGGGGATCCTCCATCTTCAGGCCGACATTTTAAAATCAATCAGCCTGATCGATCTCAGCGGCAAACCGATAACGCACCTCATCTAAACTGAAAACATTCAAGCTCAAATCTGAGTTCAGTCAGTGCAGAAGGCAAAGAAAAGAGGAACCATGGAGTCATTAAGTAGCAGGAATAAAGGAAAACTGAACCAGATGATAACTGATGAACTGCTGCACCAGCTGCACCAGGAGCAGCTGCACCAGGAGCAGCTGCAGCAGTAGCAGCTGCAGCAGTAGCAGCTGCAGCAGCAGCAGCAGCATCAGGGCTGTGAAATGAAGTTCAGACTCATAAGAGCCCTCGACTCTAACGCGGTAATTCATAGGAAAAGCTTCATCATTACAGAGAGAGGGCAGCAAACCCTGATCAGGTCGGATGAAAGCAGGAGAGACTCTGCAGGTTGGAGCTGCCAGCATGAAAGCTTGGATATGAACCACATGCAGGAACATGTTCTGACCCGTAAGAGTCCAAATCAGCAGGAACCAGGAACATGTTCTGATCCGTAAGAGTCCAAATCAGCAGGAACCAGGAACATGTTCTGACCCGTAAGAGTCCAAATCAGCAGGAACCAGGAACATGTTCTGACCTGTAAGAGTCCAAATCAGCAGGAACCTTCATAATGGCTGCTGATCAGGTTCTGTCTGATCAGGTTCTGTCTGATCAGGTTCTGTCTGATCAGGTTCTGTCTGAGGTTCTGTCTGATCAGGTTCTGTCTGATCAGGTTCTGTCTGATCGGGTTCTGTCGGCTTCGGTCCAACAGCAGAGTTGATCTACATATTTAGGCAGCATAAAGTTAAATATTTTGCTCTGAGTATTTAGATTTTTAGTAAATATTTAACTTACTAACTAAATATTCCGTTTGAAACTGACATTTATAAATGAATGAATTTCTCTCAGGAGGATCGAAGATCTGAAGAGGTAACTATGCATTCAGTGGAGGAAGTGTGGGAGAACTGGGATTATTGGAAACCAGTCGTCCATGAGGATGAACTGGTTTCCAACTGGTTTCCAGAGTGGACTAATCAGGGCTGCTGCTGGTTTCTGTTGCTGGGTTTCCTGGTCGGTGCTGCAGGTGGAGCTGCAGAGAGGATGGGGTCGGGTTGGAGGTTTCACTGCAGATCATTTTTAATATAAATTCATCCTGGACGTTTTTTACTGAGGGTTTCAGCCCAGTGAGTTTAAACAGAATAATATAAACATGAACTAGGATACATCATCCAGGCGAAAACCACCAAGAAGAAGAAGACAGGAAGTGGTTGGAGGATGATGACTTATCGTGTGAACAAACTTATTCACGTGATTTTGTTGTTTCTTATTTTATGGAAATACTGTAATTATGTTTTTGGTGCTGGTGGAATATTGATGATCTGATTATGAAGCTTCATCAGCTTAGTGAATTATTGAAATCTGCTGACATGCAGCTCCTCTCTGAACGCGCAGAGGCTAACCGCTGTGATGCTAACAGCCGTGATGCTAACCGCTGTGAGGCTAACCGCTGTGATGCTAACCGCTGTGATGCTAACAGCCGTGATGCTAACCACCGTGATGCTTACAGTCAAGATGCTAACCGTTGTGATGCTCACCACCGTGATGCTAACAGCTGTGATGCTATCCGCCGTGATGCTAACCGCCGTGATGCTAATAGTCGTGATGCTAACAGCCGTGATGCTAATAGCCGTGATGCTAACATCCGTCCTTCTGAATATTTTATCTGAAATCTCAGGTTCCGCCGCCAACATTTCTTCTTCTACTGTTTCATTCAGCTGAAGCTTATCTCGTCATTGTGCTGAGCGCCACCATCAGGACACATTAAGAAGCAATAAGAGCAAAGAAATCAGGTTTTTAAGATTTAGTTGCCTAAAATCGTTGACAAGTTGCTTGTCTGGCTGCTTTGCCTCTTTTAGCTCTTCTTCATGCTAAACGTTTCATTTGCACATTTAGCATCTTCTAACCTATTTTTTCTGGGAGTATCTTGATTGTGCGCAGGCTGAGTAAATCTGGGCTGTGTGCAGAATGGAAACCGGAGCTCAGTGTGCAGCGAACAGCTGCTGTGGATCTGTGACAGAGGGGCCTATTCTGGGATGGCAGCATTCTCCCGCTGCCAGGAGGGACAGGCCAGAAACTGCTGCCGCCCGCAGTCTGGGGCGCAGCGCCACCCGGGGATCCATACGCAGGACAGCTGGAGCTTTACAGGGCAGCAAGAAGGAGATTTATATCATGGAAAATATTTAGAAAAGACCTGCAGGGCTCTGTGGCCACCAGGGGGCAGCAGAGAAATAATAGTCCTTAGCGTATAAAACACTGGTAGCTGTGACATCAGCGTGGCCTACTTTGATGATGGATGCAGTCTGGATTTCATTAAAACAAAAACATCAAACTAAACTAACTATAATCATCTTCAGGTGTTGAGTTCAGTTTTCATTTTTAGCTTTATTCATGTTCTGCATCAGCAGTACGTGAATCCACTGTGCACAGCTGCTGACTGCTCCTTCAGACTAGCCAGCAGCAATTAGCAAACATCTGGTGGAGCTGCTGAGCTCACTGTAGGAACGCTGGTAACAACGATAACGGTTTAATAGAGGAGCCATGTTGGGACGACGTCCTGGAGGCGGAGCTTCAGGACGTTTTTAAAGAGACAGAGACACAATTTCAAGGTGACAAATTACAAAGACAAATTGCTTTTGTCACATATGTAGTATTTTTTATAACAGTTGAAGTCAACATAGCACATAAAGCTGCATTTATTTTCCCTTTGAATCCATTTTCAGGACATTTTTAAAGCCGGCAGTTTGTTCTTGTTTTTTGGTAGCTGAGGAATGAATCTGTTTTTATCTGCAGCCTCAGCTGAACATCAGCATGAATAAACGTTTTTCCCTGTGGCTCCACGGCCTGAGCCCCTGGTCCGGTCTGGTCTGGTCCCGGTCCGGCCCGGTCCGGCCCAGTCCCAGTCCAGCTGGTTTGAGCCCGGCGGTCAGACCTGGTGTTGGGTTTCCTCCTGAGGGATCTGTTGTCGTTTAGCTGATGCGTTGTTCCTCCTGCAGCCACTGGAGGAAGAAAGATGGCGGCGGCCGGTAATCAGGCGGAGATCGATGGCTGCCGCCGTTCGCCACGCGTTGCTAAAATGTTTCATTTCAGAGGTTATGGTTTAGACTGAGGTCCTGCTGCATGCTGGGTAAAATATTAATCTCATCAATTACTGATTCTCTTATTTAATTTATGATCCAGTTTCTGCTAATCTGAGGGTTTAGTGGTTTTTTTTTAATATTTATAATTTTTGGAAATGAGGTTTTAGTGGTTGTGTGGCAGAGTTGTCGTCTTGCAATCGGAAGGTTGTAGGTTCGATTCCAGCTTCCTCCTGCCATATGTCGATGTGACTCTGGGCAAGGCACTTAACCCCAAATTGCCTACCGGTCTGCGTATCGATGTATGAAAGTGTGTGTGAATGTGACTCTAGTGTAAAGGGCTTTGAGTGGTCAAAATGACTGGAAAAGCTCAATATAAGTTCAGTCCATTTACCATTTAGTGCAGATCATTTCTGGAGATGTTTGTGTTTCTTTGAGGCCTGTTTGACGTTTTGTCTCTAGTTCGGTGAGTCTCTGCACATCGCTGGTGTTTTAAGGAGTCTGATCTTTAAGCCCTTAAATTTTCATGTTGTTTTGCTCTTTGCAGATCTTTCATTGTCAGTTTTTGGCAGCACTTTTAAAATAGAGAACCTTGTAATGGTATTTTATTGGGATTTATAAAACAGACCAACTCTAATGATGTTTTTTCAAAAGTTTTTAACAATTTGAATCTGAAAAGTGTGGTGTGCATTTGTAAACATCCATCCAGAGAAACTGGATCGAAACCTTTTCATGTGTTTGAATGGCCTAGTCAAATTCAAAAGAACACCACACTCCTCTGAGTTATATTTGAGTAGAAAATATTAATTCTCATTTTGTGACTTTTTAAACCTTCAGTAGTAGAGTTTATTTATTTGCTTTAATTTCTGGATGAATATTAGGGCCAGAATAAGAGAATTCTTAATTACTAGAATAAAGTTAAGAATGATCAAAATAAAGTTGTAAAATTATGAGACAAAGTTGTTTTATGAGAGAAAAGCTTGGATTGATTTATCAATATGTGACCAGATCAGAAACTGAATCTGATTCATTCTGAATAGTTTCATTTATCTTAAGTCCTACAGATAATAATTAGATTTTGCTATAACAGACTAAATATTTCTTCATTTGTAAAATTGATACTAAAGCAAAACCTAACAAAATGCTCAATATTCGCCTTGTAACGTTGCTCTGTAACGTCTCTCTGTGACGTCTGTGTAACGTCTCTGTAACGTCTCTCTGTAACGTCTCTCTGTAACGTCTCTGTAATGTCTCTCTGTAACGTCTCTGTAACGTCTCTCTGTAACGTCTCTCTGTAACGTCTCTGTAACGTCTCTCTGTAACGTCTCTCTGTAACGTCTCTGTAACGTCTCTCTGTAACGTCTCTGTAACGTCTCTGTAACGTCTCTCTGTAACGTCTCTGTAATGTCTCTCTGTAACGTCTCTCTGTAACGTCTCTGTAACGTCTCTCTGTAACGTCTCTGTAATGTCTCTCTGTAACGTCTCTGTAACGTCTCTGTAACGTCTCTCTGTAACGTCTCTGTAATGTCTCTGTAACGTCTCTGTAACGTCTCTGTAACGTCTCTCTGTAACGTCTCTGTAACGTCTCTGTAACGTCTCTCTGTAACGTCTCTGTAATGTCTCTGTAACGTCTCTGTAACGTCTCTCTGTAACGTCTCTGTAACGTCTCTCTGTAACGTCTCTGTAACGTCTCTCTGTAACGTCTCTGTAACGTCTCTCTGTAAACGTCTCTGTAACGTCTCTGTAACGTCTCTCTGTAACGTCTCTGTAATGTCTCTCTGTAACGTCTCTGTAACGTCTCTGTAACGTCTCTCTGTAACGTCTCTGTAATGTCTCTCTGTAACGTCTCTGTAACGTCTCTGTAACGTCTCTCTGTAACGTCTCTGTAATGTCTCTGTAACGTCTCTGTAACGTCTCTGTAACGTCTCTGTAACGTCTCTCTGTAACGTCTCTGTAACGTCTCTGTAACGTCTCTCTGTAACGTCTCTGTAATGTCTCTGTAAACGTCTCTGTAACGTCTCTGTAACGTCTCTCTGTAACGTCTCTGTAACGTCTCTGTAACGTCTCTGTAATGTCTCTGTAACGTCTCTCTGTAACGTCTCTGTAATGTCTCTCTGTAACGTCTCTGTAACGTCTCTGTAACGTCTCTCTGTAACGTCTCTGTAATGTCTCTGTAACGTCTCTGTAACGTCTCTCTGTAATGTCTCTGTAACGTCTCTCTGTAACGTCTCTCTGTAACGTCTCTGTAATGTCTCTGTAACGTCTCTGTAACGTCTCTCTGTAATGTCTCTGTAACGTCTCTCTGTAACGTCTCTCTGTAACGTCTCTGTAACGTCTGTGTAACGTCTCTCTGTAACGTCTCTGTAACGTCTCTCTGTAATGTCTCTCTGTAACGTCTCTGTAACGTCTCTGTAACGTCTCTCTGTAACGTCTCTCTGTAAATTTGCCCTGTAACGTCGTGTTTTTGTCCAGCAGCTCTCTGTGCTCAGATAATCGCCTCCTCTGAACTTCCTGTCTCTTTTCTTCATCACCTCTCGGGTTATTAATACATTCTCTAACCCACATTCCCAGCCGGTGTAATTATTGTGTCGTTTTCAGCTCGTTCTGACAACGCCTCTGTGATTAATGAGTGTGATCATTGCAGGTGGCCGCAGCTTCAGCCTGATTAACTCGCTCCCGCAGCTAAAGGCGCAGCGGGGGAATTTTCTGTTCGCCCAGGAAAACATGATGTTTAAATGAAAGGATGAATACCTGCTGAGGTTAATGTGTACTGTTAGCGCGTCTCTGCAGTCAGATTATTTCTGAGGGAATTATAAATACCTGAGCCATTAATCCTGAGAGGAGCAGCAGATGGGAGGTTGTTATTACTTTTTGACCTTCTCTCTGTGACCTTCTGTAAAAATAGGGAAACGTGATCTCATGATGACGGCTGTGTTATCAGACAGAAACAAGGGGCTGCAGGCCTGACAGCGTCTCTGAGGAATATAATGTTTCTATCTGAGCTGCTTCGGTTTAATAAATGTATCCATAATGGAGAGAACAGATCGGTTTCATCTGCTCTTGGACAACTGAGCCGTCCGCCGAGATGGAACTGCGCTAAACGGGAAGGAGTCAAGAAACAGGAATATTTCAGAGAAATTCATCTTAATCAGCTAATGGAGATGTTTGAAGTTACTATGAACTCCAGGTTTTGACTTTAATTTAATTCCTTTGCAGCATTTTGCAGCATGAAGCTGTAAAATAAACCATCTCATTGAAATGACCTCAGCTGGTTATTTCTGCTAATCCAGTTAATTATAATATTTCTAACACAGGTTGAAATCTCTGCCAACAGCACCAAAAAATGCCACTTTCTTCAGGGTTACCCTTCCTAACACTAAAAACTGTTTGATTAAATAGACACACGTTCAGGTGGAAAATGTTTTATTATTATTAATCAGACACTAAAACTTAAAAATTCTGACATTTATTTCAAAGATTCTTTATCCATTTATTGTTGTGTCCAAAAATATTTACACCCCCAATCAAATGAAAATTAACTAATAAATAATTAAAAAATGTATTTTATTACCTTTTGACAAATGCTTGTTACATTTTTAATCAGAAACTAATTCTTTTGGAAATGTTGTATTTCAGCAGTTGATGTTTGTTAAGGTGCATTCACACCAGCTCTGTTCAGTTCATCCAGCTGCAGTCCGTTTGCCTGGAAAGTCCGGTTCCTTGGGGCGGTGTGAACGCGTCTTCAGCGCAGGGCATTCTGGGTAAATACGACCAAAGCTAACATGCTAGCCTAGCGCTAGCTCCTGGTCTTCAGCCAAAGACTAAACAGAAATCCTGCAGCACTAAACTCTGACACCTCCATCTTGTTTCCATCTGGTGAAGCAGGAAGTTGCTCTCAGTGTCTTCAGAGGTTTGTGTGTCGTTTCCTTCAGTGATTGTTGGTGCAGCGCCCCCACAGGTCAGGAGGGGAACAGGCTGATTTGACTCAGCCACAGCAGCTGGAGGAGGAGCAGATGATGGAGGTTTGATCCCAAATTAAACTGATTTCACTGGAATATCAGGTGAGAAAACACAGTTTCATTTTATTATAGTTTCATTCAGCCTGTAGATGCATATTTGACACAATCCTTGAGAAAAATTCACAGCACTTTTCCACCACTGAAAGAATTACTCAAGAATGTCATTACAAAAATGTAACTTTAAAATAATGTTGTTGTTTTTAAGTTGTTGTGAGACCAGTTTCACATCTCTCAATTAATCTCAGGTAATCTCAGTTAATCTCAGGTTTCTCAGGTAATCTCAGGTTTCTCAGTTAATCTCGGGTTTCTCAGTTAATCTCAGGTTTCTCAGTTAATCTCGGGTTTCTCAGTTAATCTCAGTTAATCTCAGGTTTCTCAGTCAATCTCAGGTTTCTCAGTTAATCTCGGGTTTCTCAGTTAATCTCGGGTCTCTCAGTTAATCTCGGGTTTCTCAGTTAATCTCAGGTTTCTCAGTTAATCTCAGGTTTCTCAGTTAATCTCGGGTTTCTCAGTTAATCTCAGTTAATCTCAGGTTTCTCAGTCAATCTCAGGTTTCTCAGTTAATCTCGGGTTTCTCAGTTAATCTCAGTTAATCTCAGGTTTCTCAGTTAATCTCAGGTTTCTCAGTCAATCTCAGGTTTCTGAGTTAATCTCGGGTTTCTCAGTTAATCTCAGGTTTCTCAGTTAATCTCAGTTAATCTCAGGTTTCTCAGTCAATCTCAGGTTTCTGAGTTAATCTCGGGTTTCTCAGTTAATCTCGGGTCTCTCAGTTAATCTCAGGTTTCTCAGTCAATCTCAGGTTTCTCAGTCAATCTCAGGTTTCTCAGTTAATCTCGGGTTTCTCAGTTAATCTCGGGTTTCTCAGTTAATCTCGGGTTTCTCAGTTAATCTCAGTTAATCTCGGGTTTCTCAGTTAATCTCAGTTAATCTCAGGTTTCTCAGTTAATCTCAGGTTTCTCAGTCAATCTCAGGTTTCTCAGTTAATCTCGGGTTTCTCAGTTAATCTCAGGTTTCTCAATTAATCTCAGTTAATCTGAGGTTTCTCAGTCAATCTCAGGTTTCTGAGTTAATCTCGGGTTTCTCAGTTAATCTCGGGTCTCTCAGTTAATCTCAGGTTTCTCAGTCAATCTCAGGTTTCTCAGTCAATCTCAGGTTTCTCAGTTAATCTCGGGTTTCTCAGTTAATCTCGGGTTTCTCAGTTAATCTCGGGTTTCTCAGTTAATCTCAGTTAATCTCAGGTTTCTCAGTTAATCTCGGGTTTCTCAGTTAATCTCGGGTTTCTCAGTTAATCTCAGGTTTCTCTGCGTCCTTCAGGGTGAGACGGAGGTCCCATCCGTGGCTGTCACCAAATCTCCCAAAGGACTTGGACTGGAAGGCCTGGATATCGAGCCCGATGCCTACGACATCCCCGCGGACCTCTCCTCCGACGAAGAGTACCTGAGAGACGAGGAGCCGGACCCGTCTCGAGCCGCTCGACTCAAGAAGTCCATGGTGAAGAGCACGGAGACCCTGAAGGCGGCCTTCTCCAAGGAGAACATGAGCAAAACCAAAGACAACCTGGGCACCAAGTTCCACAGCCTGGGCGAGAAGGTGATGCCGCCGGAGAGGAGGGAGAAGATGCAGCAGGCGGGGGAACGGCTGAAGCAGTCCGGCGAGCGGCTGAAGGAGAACATCGCCAAGAAAGCTCCCACCAAAGAGACCTTCCGCATCAAGCTGAAGAAAGAGCGGGCCGTCGCCGAGGGCCAGGAGGGCGCGGAGGGGGAGGGGCGAGCCGGCCAAAGGAGGAAACCGGAGAGCGCGCAGAAACCAAGAGGGAGGGGCCAGTGGAGGAGGCCGGCGCCACCCGGGTGGCAGAATAACGTCCTGAGAACCAGGAAGTGGACACTGGAGGAACCAGGTCTGAGATGTGAGAGGATTGTCTCAATTAATAAATCTAGACAATTATTGATCAAATCTGTGAAATGAAAGGTATTGATGTGAAGGGTGAGACGTGATCAGGTTGTAGAACATGTGAGTCCAGGCGGGTCGGAGAGCCGATGGAGGATGACAGGAAGGATTCTGAATGTTGACACTAAATGTACATATAATCCCGTACAAACGTCCAGTTTGAGGAGGTGAAACTGCCTCCAGCGGGTCAGACTGGTTTCTGTCTGAGCTCAGAGACAACATGTGGCTGGACGCTGAACGCCGCACTCACACCTGAACGCCACACTGGTTACTTTTATTTAACTCTAGAAAAGTTCAGCATTCTGACACCAAACTGTTTTAAAACAACAAAATCAACATTTCTGCCCGTTTGGCCTGAGAAACGGAGAAATCTGCCGTTTCATGGAGAGTTTTTATAAACAGCGACTGAAGAGCTGCAGCAGGATGAAATCTCTCCAACATGATTTCAAACCTTTGCTGCTTTTCCTGATTCACCTGAGAGCATTTCTGAAGTCGCTGCTTTGATTGGACTTTCAACTTTCTGCTCTTCAACCATCAAAGGCTCTGAATTAATCCAGTAGAAATTTGGCTTTTAAAGGAAATTCATTAGTTTGTTTAGGAGTGCATCTTTCTGTGTCATATTGTTTTATTATTTTTGTATTGCTGCTCTTCATTTACTGCAGTAGAGAAAGTTATTTAGGTTTATTTAGGTTTATTTTGGGTCTGAAATCCATTTTTTTTACAGTTACTCAGAAAATCCTAAATGCTGAAACAGGAATAAAAACCAAACTGTCAGTTTCTCTCAATGTTTGTGTAACAAAACCTGAATCAAACAATAAAAAACATTTGTTACGGAAACAGTTTCATTTTTACTGTCATCATTTATTTGGACAATGAAAATTAAAATAATGATAATTGGTCTGCGTTCAGCTTCACCTGGTAAAGGAAGCTGGTAATTGGTTGGCTTCCTGTTACATGTTTTCATAATTTTTGATTTGGTTATTTAGTTGGGTTTATGTTGTTTTTTAACAAGTTAATTGGTTGATAAGGCTCTTTAATTGGTTAATTGGTGTTTTGCCTTGCTGCCCCATACCAGAGGATAGTTGGTTATGGATTTATTCATGTAGTGATTGATTGTTTTCATGGGTTATTTAATTTGATTTATTTGTTTTGATTGGTCGGTAGGGTTTGGTTAGTTAGTTAGGAGCTTCTTCAGGTGGTTAACTGGTTTGAATGGTTGTTCCATTCAAACTCATCTCTGTGTCTGACGTTTGATTTTTATCCATTAAAGCATTTATTCATTGTTCTTTCTGCTTTGTCCTCTTCAGCTCATTCTGTTCAGTTTTTATTTATTCACAATTAAAGGAAATAGATTTTATCTGTGAAAAAACATTTTCTGTCTTCCTGACTCAAAGTTTTTTCTCCAGATTTGAGGATTTGTCAGTAAAATCTGTTTTCCAGCAGCAGATTCAGTCCAGAGCAGGGGAGAGATGAAGACATGAATCAGGCTGGTTCATGTCTTCGTCTCGCCGTCTGTCTGAGTGAGTCTGCTGGTCGGCGCTGCGCCGCGTCTGCAGGAATGAAACACCAAACAGAGACCATTAAAAGCCAACAAAACATTAAACTTGTCTGTTTTCTCTTGGGAGAAATGTTAGCTTAGGTGTAAATGTCTTTTGTCATTGTAATTTATTTTATTTTCAGATTTTCATCTTTAAAACCAGAATTTACTCATAACTTTCTACCTTTTTCTGTCTGACGTCATTGTTTGGTATTAACCCCCCCGACGGCCCCTGTAGCTCCGGCTCTGGTCTGAAGCTTTGTGCATGTAAATGTGCTGCAGTCGCTGCTTTACATGCGATCTGCTCTGCAGCTCTAATTCCAGCTCCAGTTTGCCTTTATAAGCAGATATTACCATGTTTCACCTGTTGCAGCTCGACAGACATCAAAGCGGCAGAAGAAACGTCTGTAATGAATTCCTCCTCAGAGCCAAATCCACCAAAAAAACATAATTCTGATTTATTTCAGCACTTCAGAGAGAAAGAGTGGGGGATGCAGCGGCGGACTGATTGCTTCTGCTTCATCTGTTTGTTATGCATTAGCGAGCACAATTGAACTCTTGAAGCAATCTGCTGAACAGCCTTGGGTGAAGACAGGAGAGCGGAGCTCCATTAAGACGTTTTCATTTTCCCTCTCTCAGTGTGAACACTCCTTCTGTGTCACAAACACTCGAGGAGTCTGTCTGAGATTGAATTTGTTCACAGGTAAAGCCGGAGCAGAAGCTTTTCATAAAGTAAAATGTTGCTGCTTTGTCTCCTCTGACAGATACAGAAATATAAAAACCCATTTCTGCTCCACAAAGAGACGCAAACCTGCAACAAGAGCTGGAGGAAAAACACTGGCTTTAAAAGAAGCCATCATATTTCAGCTTTATTTCAATAACCTGCGATAAAACTGAACAGACAGTTTCAGTTTTGTGTAGTTTTTATTTCCTTCCTATTTATTATTTTTTGTTTTTTTATTCCAGTGTATTTAAAAATACACTGGAACTGCAAGATATTTTTAAATACTGTGTAGTTTCAGTGTTTTTGTTTTTATTAGAGTTTATTAGACTCTGAGAGGCAAATTAATAAAAACCTGCTGCTGTTGTTTGGCCAGTAGTGACAGTTACTATACAAAAAATATGAATCATCAGAATGGAGATTATTGATCTCATTTAATTGATTGTTAGGATTATTCTGTATTTTTACAGTTTGACAATCTTTCCATTTTATCGGTGAAACCAGATGAATAACTGATATTTCCTTTGAAACTATGCGCTGATTTGTTTTCATAAACTGAAATAAGAAAAACAGGTTGGAATATTTTTGCAAAGAAACATTTATTTTTCTTTTCCAGTAGAAATTTGTGGCTTAATGCTGCTCTCTGGAGGTTTTCCAGACCCAAACGGTGAGTGGGCCTCCTCTTCCTCCTCCTCCTCCTCCTCTTCCTCATTTTCCTCCTCCTCCTCCTCCTCCTCCTCCTCCTCCTCCTCCTCCTCCTCCTCTTCGTCCTCCTCCTCCTCTTCGTCCTCCTCTTTTTTACGCTGTTTCTCTCCTCATGTTCTCTTCTTTCCCAAAAGTCTTTGTTTCAAATGAAGAAAAATGCAAACAATAGAGAGATGGAGGACAATTTGCTTCTGCCACTACATTTACATTTAAGTGCTGTAAATAAATAAGACAGTTAGCATTTTGTGTATCTCACTGATGTGTTGGTTTTCCTTCTGCAGGGAGATTTTATAAATATCCCAACGACTGTAAGGCAGCTAATTTGGGTCAGCAATCTGGTCTTTCTTATTAATTTTCATGTGTAACTTTTTCTGAGGAGAATAAAATGACCAGATCATCTTGTGAACGGTGGAAACTGACATTTAGAAACATTTATTTCCCAGCATTCTCCTCACCGCCTTGACAACCACGTCAAGCCCCAGGTGCTAATTTATTGCTGAAAGCGGTGAAAACCTGTCACCTATCACCTCTGTTAGAAAACATCCAGCAGCGTAATGATCCTCAGATTGGAGATATTTCTGTGCAGCGGTGCATAAATAGGCCGAGTGACGGATGCCCAGCAGGCCGTGGGCCGCCTGCCGGGCCTCAGGCGAGGCGGGGATCATTACCGCCTCGCTCAGGTTAAGCTGCGGATCCGCCCTCGTCTCTCCTCGCCGTTAGCCATCCATCCATCCAGCAGCAGCCAGCCCAGCGGAGGCGGCTGACACGCTGTCTGGTACACAGTTTTTACAGTTGAACTGTCTTCAAATCCACTGATTTAACTGATTATCATCAGTGGGACGACTGCTGTTCATGCAGTTTGCTGCTCTATGGGTTAATCCATTTGCTATCATAATACCAAGACATCAGCAATGGATGATCAATATGGGACGAAAGATTATTTCCAAACACCCAAAGTCCAAAAATTAGTCAGAAACAGAAACTGCTCAACAATGAACTCAAGGACCCAAGAGCTCCATCTTAGACTCTACAGGCTTAGTTATAGGTTAAAGGTCATTAGACAGCAATGACATAAAGAATAAGGCGTAAGGAGAAAGTCTGCATTTGACTCCTTGCACCAACTGCGAAAGCACGGTGGTGGAGGGATGATGATGGGGGGCTTGTTTACAGCTACAGGAACTGGGAACCTTGCAGTCACAAGGTGAACGATGAAAACCAAAATATTCTAGAGTCAAACGTGAGTCCATCCGACTCAGAAGCCTGATCCAAACCGGGTTCTGAAGGACGTTGCATTGGAGCCAAAATTAAGACTGTAGCGCCCCCAGTGGTCGCTACTCACAGGAGGCTATATTCAGTTTGAAGCTACTGATGTGATTAATGATCGTCCAGCATCGATAACTGATCAGCCGGCGCTGGCAAACTTGGGTTAGCTTTGCATCACCAGATTCCTTTTTCCTCTGCTGTCCATTAGCATGGATATAATAGCATCAGTCTTAGATACGCTAGCTTTAGCCTTAGATATGCTAGCATTACCCTAGCGTACCCTAGTATTCTCCTGCTCATTTGCCAGCACTGGCCACTCAGTTACTGGTGCCAACCTACCCTGATCAGCAGATTAGCTGAAGCTAGCAGCTAATACCCTTATTAGCTGCTAGCTTCAGCTTTAATAGTCTTAATTTTGTCCCTAATACCACACCATAGACTCATATATATGGCTGACATTCTCTCTCCTAAGATTTTAGGAGATTTAGATTTTTAAGCAAATATTTGTAGTAAAAATGCATGAAGCTGGTAGAATTTTCCTCTTTTTTGTGGGTTGTCATCACCACCCAGGTGGGTGAGGCTGCAGCTCAGCAGGCGGCGCTGCTGTCGGTGAGCCTGTCAATAAAAGCTCAGACAGCAGGCAGATAAAACCCCCTTCCTCCTGCACACCTCCTGCTGCACAGGGAGGAGGCATGAATTATTCACAGACACACACATGAACACACACATGAACACACACTGAAGGCCTGAGGAATCACTGGACAATACTTTACAGAAGGACAATGATGCTGCACAATAGAAAACAACATAAAGAGAAGTAATACAATTTTTAAAACTAACAACAGTTAAGGACTAATTTTACATCAGACAAAAACATAAAAAAAATGTTGAGTTTTGATTTAATTGAATGGGGAGCATTCAAACATTTTTAATGTTTTTATTTCTAGTATGATATCAAAATGAGATAACCTAAGGAACAGTGGGAAAAAAAATTTTAATAGGGAACGTTTTTATTCATTTACTCTTTTAGGGGAGGTGATGAAAGACATTATTTTCTTTGGATCTTTTTTGCTATTAAAGTTAAATGTTACTCTTAAAAGATGAAGGACCGTCGTTGCCCAGCAGGCGGCGATGTGAGGCTTCAGTAAAACAAGAGAAGAAGAAAAAGGACGGTTTAGCTTCTCCGCGGTGACAAACTGGTGTCTTTAAACGATTCTAGGAGTTTATATTAGGAACACATGTGTACTGTTTAGACGTTTAAACGTTGTCAAAACAGAAATTTATGACATATATGTTTAAAATTGGACCTAAAGATTAAAATGGATCGCGGCTAACTGCTAGCAGCTAACATTAGCCACATCCGCAGCTGCGTCGGTTAGAGCTCTGTTGCCCTGGCAACGGATAAGCATAGCATCCGAAGCTCGTTTTGCTGTTTTACCACTGTTACTTTTTAAACTAACGTCTCCGGGATGGCTGAAGAGGGAAGACGCGGAGAGGAAGAGGACCGGGGCCCCGGAGCGGCGCACCGGGGGTTTGTGATGATGGAGAACCTTCTGGAGAAGCTAAAGCTGCTCAACTACGAGGAGGAAGTTCTGTTGAAACACAACATGAAGAGCCTGACCAGGTGAGACGGACAGGTGAACAGATGCAGAGCAGCTTCCTGTTCATAGAGGAGTAAAGGAGCAGATGAAAGGTGTAGCTGAGAGAGAAGACATGGAGAACTAGAACATAATGACCTTTAAATCTGAATAAACATGAAACAGGCCTGTTTTTAGGTTCTTCAGAACATTAAACATGGAGATTTCTGATCCGGGAAACATAAATGAAGACGGTTAACAAGCAGCTCACTAAACTAACATTTTCTCTCAATCATTTCATGTTTATACATCTGGTTTCATTTTTACCTGGCCTTTTGCAATAATCAATTAATCACATAATTGAACATGAACTCAATTATTCCAATTTGCATAATTTATTGTTTTTCTCTAAAACTGGATGACAAAAGTTTTCCGTCATTCTGTTTTGTTGTTGTTTTTTTACTATATAACATGCTAACAATTGAGATGCATTATTATATTATAAATATGTGAAATTAATTTAGAAATTTCTGAGATTTTTGTATAAATTTATTCCTCTGTGTTCACATCATTTTCTTTGTTTTCTGTGATCTACATTAACCCTAAATTTAAAAGATCAGGGAAATTGTGTGAAGAAGTTCTGGTTCTGGTTCTGGACTGAAGCTCCAGGCTGTGTTTCAGTTTCCTTCAGTTCTAATCGTGTCCGGTTCGGTTCGGTCCGTCCTGCCAGGCATTACTTCGTCTCCAGTCCGTACCTGGCGTCCAACCCCGGCGAGCAGTTCTACATGTTCACCATCATCGCTGCCTGGCTCATCAACGTGGCGGGGCGGCGGTTCACCGACCCACAGGAGTACGACGAGCCCAACGCCATCGTGTCCAACATCCTGGCAGAACTCAGAGCCTTGGTGAGTCCAGCACATTTAAATGATGGGTTTTGAAAATGACCGGACCGGGTCTGGTCTGGTTTTGGACTCTCGGTGTTCATCAGGGCGTGAAGGTGGACTTCCCTCCCTCCAAGCTGAAGTCGGGCTCCGGTGAGTTCGTCTGCTTCGTGTTGGACCGCCTGGCCGAGGAGGCGCTGAAGAACCGAGGCTTCACCTTCAGACGGTGCCGACCGGTCCTGAAATCCACTAAACCTTTGACCCGACAGGAAGTGGGAGGGTTTCATTTCCCGTTTTCTGTTTCAGGCCAAAACTACCCTGCAGAAAACGCAGAGGAAGAGTCGGTGATGGACGGCGACGCGGAGCTGACGCTCAGCAAGGTGGAGGAGGAGATGATCGTAGGTTTATCCACCAATGGTTCTGATGAGCCAGAACCCAGTACTGCTGCAGGTTCTATCAGGAGGGTCCGACGGGTCTGACTGTGTCTCTGACCTCAGGAGGAAGCCGACGATGAGGAGGAGAACGTGATGGACCTGGAGGCGCTGAAGCTGCGCAACGCTCACGCTGTGAGACCAGAGAAGAAGAAGAAGAGTTTCCTGTCAGTCTGAACCCGACTTCCTCTCTCTGATCCGGTTCTGTGTTCTGGCAGGAAGCAGAACCGAGCTCCAAGCCGGACGACATCCTGGAGTCCACGGTGGACGCCGCCGAGTGGAGGCTGGAGGTGGAGCGAGTTCTGCCGCAGCTCAAGGTCACCATCAGAACCGACAACAAGGTCAGAACTCACCTGGACTCACCTGAGCCGCAGCGGACCCGTTCGGTTCGGATGCTGGCTCTGATTCTGCTCCGCTTCTCCAGGACTGGAGGATCCATCTGGACCAGATGCATCAGCACCGAGACGGGATCAAGTCGTCACTCAAAGACACCAAGGTGGGTTAATCCGAACGGACCCAGCTGGTTCTGGATGGTCAAATCCTGGTCGAATGGTCCAGCTGGTTCTGGAGGGTCCAGCTGGTTCTGGTCGGACTCTCAACCCGCCATGGGTGTTCCTGTGTGTCTGCAGAGCTACCTGGACAAGCTGCAGGACGACATCGGGAAAACTCTGGAGAAGGTGAGCAGCAGAGAGAAGTACATCAACAACCAGCTGGAGGCGCTGATCCAGGAGTACCGCAACGCTCAGGCCCGGCTCAGCGAGGTGAGACCCGCTGACCCAAACCCGAACCATTAACGGTACCGGGAGCTGATCGGACTGTCCTCCATCAGGCGAAGGAGCGATACAGGCAGGCGAGTGTCGGAGTGATGGCGAGGACCAGAGTCCTGGCTGAGGTCAGTGAACACACCACCATCAGTCAGTGAACACACCATCGGTCAGTGAACACACCACCATCAGTCAGTGAACACACCACCATCGGTCAGTGAACACACCACCATCGGTCAGTGAACACACCATCGGTCAGTGAACACACCACCATCGGTCAGTGAACACACCACCATCGGTCAGTGAACACACCATCGGTCAGTGAACACACCACCATCAGTCAGTGAACACACCATCGGTCAGTGAACACACCACCATCGGTCAGTGAACACACCACCATCGGTCAGTGAACACACCACCATCAGTCAGTGAACACACCATCGGTCAGTGAACACACCACCATCAGTCAGTGAACACACCACCATCAGTCAGTGAACACACCACCATCGGTCAATGAACACACCACCATCAGTCAGTGAACACACCATCAGTCAGTGAACACACCACCATCAGTCAGTGAACACACCACCATCGGTCAATGAACACACCACCATCAGTCAGTGAACACACCATCAGTCAGTGAACACACCATCGGTCAGTGAACACACCACCATCAGTCAGTGAACACACCACCATCGGTCAGTGAACACACCATCAGTCAGTGAACACACCATCAGTCAGTGAACACACCACCATCGGTCAATGAACACACCACCATCGGTCAGTGAACACACCACCATCAGTCAGTGAACACACCACCATCGGTCAGTGAACACCACCATCGGTCAATGAACACACCACCATCGGTCAGTGAACACACCACCATCAGTCAGTGAACACACCACCATCGGTCAGTGAACACACCACCATCGGTCAATGAACACACCACCATCGGTCAGTGAACACACCACCATCAGTCAGTGAACACACCACCATCAGTCAGTGACACACCACCATCGGTCAATGAACACACCACCATCAGTCAGTGAACACACCACCATCGGTCAGTGAACACACCACCATCAGTCAGTGAACACACCACCATCAGTCAGTGAACACACCACCATCAGTCAGTGAACACACCACCATCAGTCAGTGAACACACCACCATCGGTCAATGAACACACCACCATCGGTCAGTGAACACACCATCGGTCAGTGAACACACCATCGGTCAGTGAACAAACTACCATGTTTTGTCTGTTTCAGATCAGTGAGGAGTTGGAGAAGGTGAAGCAGGAGATGGAGGACAAAGGCAGCAGCATGTCTGATGGAGGTGAGTCTTAATCAGCCGTTTCCCTCCCCAACATGTCCGACCCGTTTCCTTCCTGCGTCTCTGTTTCCTTCTGGTCTGCAGCTCCAGTGGTGAAGATCAAGCAGAGCCTCACCAAGCTGAAGCAGGAAGTGGTGCAGATGGATGTGAGGATCGGCGTGGTGGAGCACACGCTGCTGCAGGCCAAGCTCAAGGAGAAGTCCAACATGACGCGGGACATGCACGCCACCAACATCCCTGATTCTGCTGCCGGAACCTTCACCTAGAACCGCTGAGGTTCTGCTCCTCAGCGGCACCGGGAGGCCCAGCAGCTCCTCTGTCAAATACGTGTTTTATGACATAACTACAAATATTTATTGAATTGTTTTATATATTTCATACTTGTTTAAATAAACTGAAACATCTTTTTCTAAATGGCTAAGCTATTTATTACCCAGTATGTCCACTAGATGTCACCATTGCTGCTTCCAAATCAACATTTCTACCTGATGAAAACTGAAAACAGCAATGAGAAAATTTCCTAAATATGTAACAGAAAGTCAATCAAGACTCCTCTGTTAAAGAGGATGCTCACACCTTCAAAATAAAACACCTGCTTCACCAAAGTAAGATGATTTCCTGAAATAGTCATAGTGGGAGAATTTAAAGAAGTAACAGACATTTTTATGTGAAATAAAGTCTACAGAAATGCTTTAATAACCCCAAACATTTGAAAATGTGTAAGTAATTAGACTTTCAGATTTTGGCAGTTTCTAAGTAGAAATATATTTATTTTGTCTCAGGGAAACTTGATTTAAATATAAATATAAGCATGCAGATTCAAACAAATTAAGAAAAACAGAAAAATAAGAGTAGGAGGCTGGACTATTGGAGCAAACATAAGAAAATTAGTAATTCATTCATTAAAGCCTGATTCATAGAAAATTCTCTGCTTTTACTCTGAAGGTTCTGACCGGAAGCTGGGTTTTGGCTCTGCGGTTTCCGGTGAGGCAGTCAGGCGGACAGACTTCTGTAAACCCGAAACCTGTGAAACAGCAAATAAACCAAAGGAAACAGGAAAGAAAACAGGGAAGGAAACAGGAAAGGAAACAGGAAGGAGGTTTTTACGGCAGGAAGAGGATTTATTTGGACTTCCGGCGAGGAACCGAGAGGAAAAACAACCCGGTGAGTTCAGTCCGTTATTTTTCCTTTTGTCTCGATTTGAGCAGAAAATTCAACAAAAATACTGAAAAAAATCACGAAAACAAGTAAACCCATTTCAATAAGTATTCTTTAGTTTTCATTCAACAGAAACCGCCTTCAATAACTTTAATCACTTTAAAAAGTGACATATTGTCACTATTGTTGCTTTAATTACAACCTGGTCAGGCTGAAACCCCAGATAGATTTATCCCGTTATATTCTTTAAACTATATTTGCAAAATAAAAACCAAAACTCTCATGGAAATACTGGCAGCTGAAACGGCTGCTAGTTTCAGCTGCCAGTTCAGCGGGATGATGATGCGCTTCAACATTAAAACTATACAAGCAGGAAAAGCTTCTTAATTTCAGCAGATTGCTTAAAAATCAATCACAATAATGAAAGATTCGTTAATCTTCCAGGAAATGATCCGTTTATTGTGACGCTCCGGAGTTCTAGTGGTTCTGTTGGGAACTGGTTCTGGTGGGATCTGGTTCGGTCCAACCCTGGTTTCCTGTGACGCGTTTTCCTCCAGCATCAGCAGCTCCCAGCCTGCTGCTGCTGCAAGGCATGCTGGGAAGCCGCCTCTCAGACCAGACAGGTTCAGGAATCTGCAGTTGAGCCTGAATATGGATCAGATGCTCAAGATGAAGAATCAGAGTTTAATCCTGATGCATGTTTGAACTCCTGACGGTTCTGCAGCTCTGACTCGGTTCTGCAGCTCTGACTCGGTTCTGCAGCTCTGACTCGGTTCTGCAGCTCTGACTCGGTTCTGTTGGCTTTAGCAGTCCAAACAGACAGAGCTGTTTGGACTGCTGTCTGAAAACAGGAAACGGGATTCAGTTGGTGAGGAAGTTTAGAGTTTCACAAGGAAGATGAGAAATAATCATGCAGGGTTTTTCCCTCCTTGCCTTTAACAATCAGATGTTATTATTTTTAAAAATCAGGTCTTGAAATTGAATTGTTCTGCCAGAAACTGAATCCTAGTTTATTCATCCTGCAGGATCTATAAAACAATCACATGAATATTCCCATATCTCCATAAGGACATAGATGTTTCTGTGGCTCTTTATTTAATCAGGACTCTCAAGGTTCCTTCACTGTCTGGAAAATCCTGGAAAAGCTTGAACTTGATTTAATCAGTTTTCATGTTTTAAGAGTAAAAATCTTTCTGTTTCCAGACTTTATTTCCTAGATCTGGTTTCTGAACGGCAGAAAATAATAAAGACATGTTTCTGAAAGGAAGTTCCCCAAATAACTGCAGTCATATTTAGTCTTATAATTAAAGACAGAAATAATAAACACAGCAAGGTTTAAACGTAATGAATTATGGCTTCATATTTCCAGTCTACGTGGCAAAAAGAACAATTAATGAATTGTATTATATTAATGAACCAGTAGAAAGCCAGACTACATCATTACTTTAGACATCGATCCGAAACTCAGTGAAACAATTTTAGATTTCATCCTCAAAGTTTTCATCTGGTCTGGAAAAATAAAAGATGGAATAAATGCCCAGACATTGAAAGTGCTCAAATATTTGAATCTGCAGAAGTTCCTACAGCTGATATTTAATATTTACCATCTTTCACCAGCAGCAGCTGTTTTCTGTAGCTCTTTAGTTCCATCCAGTGATGACAAACTCCTGCTTTTATTTTTAGAAAGCTAAATATTACAGGTCTGCACCATTTCATCTTTACATCAGATATTTATAGCAAGACACTCGTCAGTTATTGTGTTTTTCTAATATCATTTATCTTTGCAGAATTAGGTTAAAAGTTTGAACAGTAATTCAGTTTAGGCCAGAGTTAGGCTTTTAATAATCTATTTTTGTATCACAACCTATTTGCCAACTTAAAAGTTTTCACTTTTAGTTGCCTTTTTCTGTATGAATAAGCATAAAAAACATCTTAGAAAACTTATTTTTCCATGCAAGAGTTAAAGTGACAAAGCTGTTTGCATTTTTCAAAATTCAGAAACTTGAGAAAGTTAGTGTTCATTCCAGACGACCTCTGCTGGACGTCTCTTCTAGTGACTCTGGCTTTGCTGATGTCAGAGAAACGAGTTTCTGAGTTTTGTGTTCAGCTGATAAACGGTTAACAGGAAACATGAGCTCAGAGTCACAGCCTCCTTCTGTTTCTCTGCTTGTTTTTCTGCAGCTTCGCCTCTGCAGGATGTGATAGAACTGCAGCAGATAAACTTCTCCCTTCTCAGCCTCAAGGTAAAAATAAACTTTTTAAAAATAAGCAGCTATTTAAAAAGCTGGGAGTAGATTCTGTTAATCCCTGCAGCTCTAATCTGTTGATCAGATTTGCACAGATTAGCTCTTCTGTCTGAGAGGAGAGAGACTTACTGAAGATTGCAACTCACTCCAGATCTGAGCTTCAATTATGACCAATGAGCTGAAACCATTTCTGCAGAAAATCCTCTAATCTGAGCCTCAATGTTCAGCTATTCGAACCGAACAGCTGAACTGATCGGTTCTGCTCTCTCTCACCCAACCGATCGGTTCTGCTCTCTCTCACTGAACTGATCGGTTCTGCTCTCTCTCACCCAACCGATCGGTTCTGGTCTCTCTCACTGAACCAATTGGTTCTGCTCTCTCTCACTGAACCGATCGGTTCTGCTCTCTCTCACTGAACCGATCGGTTCTGCTCTCTCTCACTGAACCGATCGGTTCTGCTCTCTCTCACCCAACCGATCGGTTCTGCTCTCTCTCACTGAACCGATCGGTTCTGCTCTCTCTCACTGAACCGATCGGTTCTGCTCTCTCTCACTGAACCGATCGGTTCTGCTCTCTCTCACCGCTGCCCGTCGGGTTTCTGCTGTTTCACAGATCAACAGACGAGACGCAGCGACAAACATGTCTCTGTTCTTCTCTGGAGCCGTCACAAGTACGTCCCACACACACACTCACCCACACACACACACACACACACACACACACACACACACACACACACACACACACACACACACACACACACACACCCATTCACAGGTTGAAAACACGTTTGCCGAGTCGGTGGTTTAAATTCTCCCCGATTTATAAAACAGCATTTCATGGTGCTGCCACCACCGTGCTTTACAGTGAGTTTTATTTAACATTTTAATTTCGCTAAAATCCACCATTCATTGCAGACAGATGAAAATAAAATGAGTGAAATCTGTTGTGAATTTGCTCATCCTGTAATCCTCCTCCAAGCTTCACAGTCTGGTAATTGGTAGAAAATGATCCTTTAGCAAAATGTAGCTGATTAAAGATGGAGGGAAATGAATCATCTGACAACTGATCACAGGAAACTCATGTTTACAGTTTCGCTCTATATGGATCTATATGGAGTTATTATGTTTCTGAGGAGAGAAAATGGATCTAAATCTAAACCTGCTGACATCAATTCAGTTTTATCTGATTCTGCTGCTGTAGGAATGTTTTTCTTCCCACCGTCACCAGGTGCTTCACCAGAGCAGAGTTGGAGCTGATGATTTAATGTTTCTTCTGTTCAGAGGTTAGAGACCATATGGACACCTTTCGTCAAACAATTTTGACAGGTGGCCCCGCCCCTTTTTAACTGGATGTCCCGCCTCCCAGCATCAGGCCAGCTTGCAGCTTTATCCATCACAGGTCCCAGATCAGGTTTCACCGCCATTGCTGTTGCTGTTCAGGAAGCACGTGCTTATTCACCGTTATGTCAAAGAATGTCTTGAGATCCCCGAATGTGAAACAGTAGATGCAGGGAAGATGGGTTCATTTTCCTCAACAGCAGAATGAACTCGCTTAGACCCATTCATTGTAAAGTTCTGAAACAACTGTTACAACTAGAGTGCTCGATTTTTCCAACATTACTCACAGCAGAAACAGTAAAAAAGCCAAACCCATGAACTCCGTCTCTATTGGCTCATTCAGAGCCAGTGGAGCAGATGGGCGGGGAATGGGAGATGAGGGGGGGTTGTAACTGAATAATGGAAATGAGGGTGGGGGACAGCTTGTTGGGAGGCGGGACATCCAGGTAAAAAGGGGGCGGGGTCACCTGTCAAACAGTTTGACGTAAGGGTGTCCATATAGTCTCTGTGTCTCTGACCTGAGGAATGTCCCGCTGATTAAAACTCGTCTTTATTTAGAAACCTGCTGGTTGCTGAAGTAATCAAACCTCTTCTGTTGCTCAGGTTCCCCGATAAAACGGCGGCTGCGTGGGAATCACTCC